AATTTTAAGGTCTATTCTCTTAGCAACTTTCAAATATGCAACACAGTCTTATTAACTATAGTCACCATGCTGACAGTACATCCCTATTTTATAAAAGTGAAGGGCTATGACTTATTTTATAGCTGGAAGTTTGTACTTTCACCCATTTCGTCACCTCCAACCTCCCACCTCTGGCAGCCACCAATCTGTTCTTGGCATCTACCAGCTTGAGGTTTTTGCTGTTGTGGTTTTGTTTGTTTTGTTTTTAATTCCTCTTTTAAGTGAAATCATACCATAAGGTATTTGTTTTTCTCTATCTGACTTATTTCTCTTACCTTGATGCCCTTGAGGCTCATTCAGGTTGTTGAAATTGGCAAGATCTTATTCTTTTCCATTTACGTGGGCTATCAGGGGACTTGGTAGGGCTCTCTCATTCCTGGATCATGTCAGCTGTTAAGCTCCGCTAAGTTCCTGCTGTTTCTCTGTTGTCTTCCGATCACATCCTGGGTCATCTTCTACCAATAGATCCAGTCAAATTCTGGCTCCTTTGAAGGCATGGTGTGTGATTGCCATAGACAGAGAAGCCTGGTAAGCTACAGTCCATGGGGTCGCAAAGAGTCAGACACAACTGAGCGACTAACACCTGTTTGATTATTTGCTCTAGATTATTTGATTATCCACCCCAGAAGGGCTCCTGCCTGAGTATTGTACTGAAAACTAGTTAGCTTCCAGTCTAGCCTGGGTGTGGCCTCTCCCTTCTGTATCTCCGTAACCACCACCGTTCTTGACAGAACTTTAGGCTTGAATTTCTTCACTCTGTGTTGTTGCTAATGAGATCAGTTCCTTTGGGAAGAGAGTAGGAGCTGTCCGTTTTACGCCGGTTTCTATCCCCAGGCCAAACCCAGGGAACAATGGCTACATTCTCTCTGAGTAACACCCCTGCTTTAGGAGCTGGAGAGGGAGAGGCAGCCTGAGAGCCATGAGCAACCACCACCTCAGGAGCCAGGGCCAGGGGTCAGGGTGCCAGGAACGTCTGCACATTGCACTCTGCGTGGAGACTCTGTTTCACCAAGGGGCATTCACCTCTCCACCACACTCAGCCAGTCAGCCTCAGCAACACTGACAGCCTGCTCCTCCCAGGAAAAAAGTCCTAACTGGGAGCTGTGAGGAGGGGCCCTGTGTCCTGGGCACAACTCTTCGGAGCCTCACCAGCTGTGAGGAGGCTGAAGGGAGAGAGTGGTTTTGGTTCAATTACCACAGACTCTCACTTTTCTTATCAAATTGTCATGAATGTTCTTGAACAAACGTCTCGTCATTTCTGTTCACCCTTTGGGCCTTTTCCAGAAACGTTCAATAGTTTTACTTTTACCACTTTTCACCGGTCTCGTGGGCAGCAAGTCTGTGGTGGAACTCTGGGCTCGTCTTGCAGTGCTGACCTCTGAAGGCACAGCTCTGTGCCTGTTGCCTCCTTGTCAGCGTCACAGGCACAGAGCCTTCCTGGAGCTGGCGCAGGTCGAGCCTCAATGATGGGCAGAGGAACACACCTGGTTTTCTCTCCACTCTTCTGGTAAACCTGCCCTCCCCGCCCCATGATGAAGCCCAGGGAGGTCGCTTGGGTGTGTCCGTCGGTGTCAGATAACAGAAGACTGCACCCAGCCTCTCTGGAGCATCCAAGGATCTCATCCAGTCTCTGAACTACAAGCTCCAGCTTCATAGATCGTGGTCCCTGGAGCCCCAGGCCCAGCTCCGGGCCTGGAGTGGGAGGAGGGCGGTCAGTTCCTGCTCGTTGTCTTCATGGCCTGGTCTCAAGTTGCCATTTCTGACTCACGCCGGGACGGCCCCGAGGGAGGGGGTGTGTGTTTCCTGTGGCTGTTGTGACAAGTCACCACAAGCTCGACATCATAAGATCACTCTCTACTGTTCTGGGGGTCAGAAGCCCCAGCTCAGCCTCGCTGGGCCGAGGAGAAGGCGTGGGCGGGGCTGGTTCCTCTTGGAGCCCTGAAAAGAGTCCCTTCCCTGCCCTTTCAGCCTCCAGAGCTGCACTCCTCACAGCCCCCAGCCACCCGTCCTTCCTCCATCCACAGTGATTGCTTCGTCTGTCTCCCTCCCCCGGGACACTCAAGATCACATCTCAGGCCCACCTGGATAACCCTGGACCACCTCCCCATCTCAAGATCCTCAACTTCATCACACCTGTGAAGTCCCTTTGTCACCTACGGGAACACTTGCAGGCCGAAGGGTCAGGCCCTGGATGTGTCTGGGTGTTAATCAGCCTGGAACAGGGGGTTGGGGGCCTAAGGACAAGACAGTCCTAAGTGGCTGGTTCTGCTATGACCAGGCATGGCCAGTGGCCACCAGTGCTTGTTCCTCCAAGGGGTGGCTTTTGAGGGGCCTCCCATGGGGACCTGGCTGCAGCCATGATGGAACCATTAATGGTCTCCCAGCTGCCAGCTCTGCGCCCCCTCATTTTAGGCCCCAGCATGCACCCTCAGTGGGGTGCCTGAACCCCCAAGGGGTCCTCCCAGTCAAGTCCCACTCCCAGGGTCCTGCTGGGTCTCTGAGAGTTGGGCGCATGTGCCCTCCCACCAAGATTTGCTGCTCATCCTTCCACCCCCACCCTCACCTCCTGGCTCTAGACTGAGGCCACACAGCTCAGGGGTCATGGCCCAGGGGGTCACAGCTCTGGCCTGGACTCACCTCTGCCACTTATCAACCGTAGACCGTGGGAGAGCTACTCACATTTTTGTACATGACTTGGAACAGAATAAGCATTTTGAAAAACAAAATAAACCAGCCCCCCAGCTCCCAGGCCCCAGAGGACACTACTCAGCTTTGTCAGGGGAGCCCTCCCCACTCTTGCCTCCAGGCACCTCAGACTTGGGGCTGGGTGGATGACACCCCCCCCTGCTCCCCCTCCCCCCTACATTGCTCCATTCTGAGGCTTTGAAACCTCAGCTGAAACGGAGCCGGAAAGAAGCACCTGCTAACATCCTGTCCCTGGGCAGGGGGCTGGAGGAAAGCTGAGGAGAGGCCCTGGAGTGGGGCCTGGGCTGCTGCCCTCTGTCCTCTGGGGGCTCCAGGGAGGCGACAGCTCTGCCAGATCCCTCTTCTTTTCCCTCAACTGTTGTTTTTTCTTTTTTTAAAACTAAATCTATTTTTTTGAGATTACTGTAGAGTCACATCTATCTTACCAATTTTTTACATGGAAAAATTTCAAGCCCTTTGAAAAGGTGTGAGAAAGACATGAACCCACATCCCTCTCACCTGAACTAACCAATTCACATGTGGTTAAGGGCATCGTTTTTAATCTATTATCCACAGCTTTGTAATTACACATAGAGGTAAATGCAGAACTAAGCAGACACTAACTCTGTTCACTAGGAAATATATTTTCTAATATATATAATGATTATATATAATATCCATGTTAGTCACTCAGTTGTGTTTGACTCTTTGTGAGCCCATGGACTATAGCCCACCAGGCTCTTCTGTCCATGGGATTTCCCAGGTGAAAATACCAGAGTGGGTAGCCATTCCCTTCTCCAGAGGCCCTCCCCCCTCCCAGGGGTCAAACCCAGGTCTCCTGTATTACAGGCAGATTCTTTACTGTCTGAGCTACCAGGGGAGGCCTATATATAATATATATAGTGATTTATTTAAATATATAGGACATATGCAATTTTATTATTTTTTTCCTGCCTCTGTCTGTGGAGAGGCCCTGGGAGCAATGATACCTCCACAGTAATAAGCACACCCAATACCAGCTCAACCTTGTGTTCTAAAATCACCTTCCATTAAAACCATCCTCCCTCTTCCCCCCAGGAAGGGCTGGTTCTGGGTCTGAGGCAGAAGTCCTGGAGGAACCTTAAATGTGTCATCAGAGAGATGGGAGGTGCTCAGAAAACCATTGGGATTTGTCAAAAGGACAAGGGGCATCTGGAAGGGGTCTCACTGACCATATCTGAGACAATGTAAGCAGCTACATAAATAATACTAGTAATGGATATAATCTTTAATATCTGAAAGCAAGATGTCACCTTATCAATATAAATAAAGGAAGAAAAATTCTTTTTTTTTTAACAAAAAAATAAAACCAATCTGACTTCATGCTGACTCAGCCAGTCCCCGTCCAACACCCCAGGGCTCTTCCTCACTTTCTTTTTGGGACCGTGGTCACCCTCCTTCCCTGCACAGCAATCTCAATGCTCTGTCCTTTGTTCCGACGGCTTCGCTGCATTCAGTGGTTTATGTTCTTTCCCACGAGACTCAGCCTCATCCCAGAATTGTCGCACTGATCTGACCACCCACAGCAAACCTAAGTAAAGGTCCACATTTATTTTCAGTCCTTTTTGACCTTAGGCTCACCATCCCACTGGAGGTGCCCAGTGTTTAAATTAGAAGAGCTGCCTTCTGAGCCAGGCATTGATGGATGAATAGGAGTCTCCTGGGAAGAGAAAGGGGAAGAGAGGCCATGTGTGTGGAAAGGCTAGGAGATAAATTGGACATGTGGGGTGTACCCCTGCTGTGGCTGCAGCCCAGGTTTGTTCAGAGGGAAGGGGAATAATAAAGGATGGGTCTGGAGCGGTGGGGTGGGGAGGAGCAACAGGGAAGGCCCTGGTGGTTGGGCCGGAAACTTTGGGTCAATAGGAGGTCACTGGGGGCATCAGAGTTTAGAAACTGTGGTGGATGGATTGGTAAATGAGTGGGAGTAGCTGCAACCACAAGTTCAGCATCCTTGCTGCTCTGGAGACTCAGTTTTATCATCTGTAAGGTGGGTGCAGGAGGGGGACCCACTCCCAGGGATGCTAGGGGACGCCCTGGAGTCTGAGAGGGGCCCGTGGCTCACACCCCCTGTCTGGGACATCTCTGCTTCCTGTTTCTCCGTCAGGGGAAGTCTCAGTCTCAGCTTCAAAAGCACAAACACGCTCTCAAAACAAAGGAAGCTGGTCCTCGACTGCAGAGGAAGCAGGAAGCTGCCGGCCCTGCTAGCAGCCCAGCTGCCGGGGCTCGGGGACGGCGGCATGGAGTCTGTGGCCCTGTACAGCTTCCAGGCCACGGAGAGCGACGAGCTGGCCTTCAACAAGGGGGACACGCTCAAGGTAGGGTGGCCGGGGCTAGCCAAGCTGTGCCTATGTGGTATGGGGGGGGCTGCTTAAAATCAGGGCCCGGATGGCCCTTCTAATAGAGTCTAGTCTCTAGAGGAAGACAGGCCCGGCTTCTCCAGTCATTGATTACGTGACTCTGGACAAGCCACCTTCTGCCTCGGATCCTCAGTTTTCCCATCTGAGAAATGGGGAGTGAGTTAGTGCTTCCTCCTTTAGGAGCCATTCTGAGAATTCAGCGTAGTGAGTGGCAGGGGCTGATTCAACACCCAGTTTCCCAGGAAAGAATTTGAAATGAGTTAGAGAGAGAGAGGCAACGAGACAGAGACTGAGACAGAGAGAGGGTCTTGGGAATGAAGTACACACACTAACCTATCTGGGATAAAACAACTGTGACTAAGGGTCTAGACGGGCCTCCCTGCAGGTGAGATGAGCCTCAATGCTACGCAGCTCCCTCGTGGGACCTCTGTGAGGAGCACACACCCTCCAGGGCAGAGGGGTTTCCAGGCTTTCTCTCTCTCGGGAAGTATCCCTGCTTACATGCCTGCATCTGGAAGTGGAGCTCAGGGCCCTGATTTGGGAGTGGCTGGCACGATTTGAGCGCTGGAGCTGCCATCAAGTCCTGCTCAGGAAGCTCCCTGGGCCCCAGGCTCCATGCCAGCCCGGTGGGCATGAGACCAGCCATCCTTCCAGTCTGAGCCGGGGCCGCACTCTGGGTCCCAAGCTTGAGGCCTCGGAAGGGACGGCACCTCCCGTGGGCTGACTGTGTATGGAGCCAGGTCTGAACTCAGCGGTGTGCTCCAACGTCCGCTTAAGCTGCTGTGGCCCCATTTTGCAGATGACTAAGTGAGGCCCCCAGGTGCCATGACTTGCTCAGTGTGGGGTCGGGTGTGAACCCCTGAACCTGGGCTGGGGCAGAAAGGTGACGGTTCTAAGAACCACATCATTTTGAGGAAGTCTCCTCTTATCTGTGCTGGGATGCTGGTCCTGGGCCCCCTGGGTGGCCAGTGGGGGGGGGGGTGACCTGAGGATGTGTGGTCACCTGGGGGTGGGCAGGTTTGGCACCATGACCAACCAGCTAGTGCAGGAGACTCTGAGATCTAGGTCCAGCTCACAGGCCTTGTTAACCAATCTGAGAGAGTTTGAGTCCCTAATTCCAGGCTCCAGAGCTTGGGAGAGAGTGGAATCACGAGGAATTTGGAATGGGGTGGTCAGTGCTTTCCACCTAAGATGCAGATGATGGGCAGTGTGGTAGGGATGGATCTGTGGGGTCCCCCAAGGGAATCACCGTAAAAACTATGACAGCCCCTTCCCTCCTGGATGCCTGGGCTCACTACCCACCCAGAGACTGGCCGAGTTCCCACTAACCCTGGCTAGAGCACTGGCATCTCCTGCTGTGTTTGCTTCTAACCCGGGCTCCTGAGGGCAGGGACATAAACCAGTGCCGGCACACGGCAGACCCTCAGCAAGACATGGGGTGTCAGAGGAAGGAAGGCGGGATTAAGATGTTAGCCGAGACCCAGGAGGGGGACTCTCAAGGCATGACAGGCCATGGGAGGGGCTGCCTTTTCCTTCCTTCGTGAACAAACTCTTGCTGGGCTGTGGAGCGTTGTCCTGAGTGTTGAGGACACAGGCAGTGGACAAAGCCCAGTCCCTGTCCTCCCAAACCTGACATTCCAGAGGGTGAGTCATGCCAGGAGGTGACAGATGGATGGAAACAATCACTCTCGGAGATGGAATGCAGAGGGTGAGAGGGGCAGGGGGACAGCTTTAGATGGCGGTGGGGGGTCTGGGCAACTTCTCACAAGAAGTGACACCTCGGCTGAGATCTGAAGGATGAGCGGGACCCAACCATGTAGAGAAGAGGCAGGGGAGGAGAGTGAAGAAGGAGATGCATCCAGCGGGGGTGGGGGTGTGAGTGAGTCTGCAGCGTGGACTCAGCCTAGCTCCATGCTTTGTGCTCCATGGTGGCACAAAATACCACACAGTCCCTAAAAACGCCATCTGGGGAGGGGTCGTTTAACAACGCAAAAATGCTCATGAGGCAACGTGAAGTGACAAAAAGGCAGAATGCAGAGGAATATACACAGAGAGCCAACTTACACGTATTCAATAGATTAGAGTTTTAGGGATGGGAAATTGACATTCCGCAGGTGAGAAAGGGAAAGGGAAAGCTGAGTCTCTTCTAGGCACCAGATTTGTGCCTAGGAAAAAAACACCAGAATGTCCTGATGAGTTAGCTGTTGGTCGTGGGAGGTGGGCCACCAGCAAGTCCCACTTCCATAAGTGGGCCTTCCAGGGCCAGACCTGGAGACAGGGCCCTTCCTCTCATGGTGGTGCAGGTGCCAGATCAAATCCTGCCTTGATTTAAGATTTTGATGGATTTTTTTGCATTAAATTTTAAACAGTCTAATTTTTAGAACAGTTTGAGGTTTACAGAAAAATCGAGAAGATAGTACAGAGGGAGTCGCATCTGACACCGCACGCCCACTCTCACCCACGCACACCGTCTCCTGTGGTAACATTTTAGAGTATCAACCTGGTTCATTTGTTATATTAATAGATTGATACGAATACATTATCATTAACTAATGACTGCATTAAAATTTTTTGCATTGATTTTGATTTTGTAACTTACTCTCTTAAAATACTATTTACGTTGATTCCTGACATCTTCAGAGCTCCCTAACATTTTGTGCTCAAAGTGCCTCACCCACCTCATGCTGGCCTGGAGTCTGATTTCTGTAACTGCAGAAGTTCGACTGTGACATCGCCCGGCAGCCCTGCTCCCTCTCCAACGCCCGTCTGGTGACTGAGCACACCCGGTGTCCATTCCCGAGCGTGTTTCCTGCGCACCAGCTGTGAGCGCCCAGCGGACACACAGATCCCAGGCCCTGGGAGCTGGCAGGACGCTGTTCTTCCAGTCTTGAGCTCTGCTCTTAGACGACCCTCTGGACAAGTGGCCCCAAACGTCACTTCCCTAAAACATAGCAGGCTGCTTTGGGTGCACAGTACCGTGTCACTCCTGGCTGGAGGAAGGATGTGGATGCTGGCTTACCTCTACCTCTTCATCGACAGCCTGGCCCCCAGAACACATCCCTCCCTCCAGTCCCCAGCCTGGTCTCCACACAACAGCCACAACCCAGAGCCTGACCTTCCCCCAGTGGCCCTCAATGGTTCATCTTGTTTGTTTTTGTAAATAATTTTATTTATTTATTGGCTGTGCTGGTCTTTGTTGCTGCATGGGCTTTCTCTAGTTGTGGGAATGGGGGGCTACTCTCTGGTTGCGGTGCTTGGGCTTCGCATTGCTGCGGCTTCTCTGGTTGCTGAGCACAGGCTCTAGGGTGCGTGAGCTTCTGTGGTTACAGCTCGTGGACTCTAGAGCACAGGCTCAATAGTTGGGGTGCTCTGTGGCATGTGGGATCTTCCTGGATCCGGGATCAAACCTGAGTCTCCTGCATTCTCAGGTGGACTCTTTGCCCCTGAACCACAGGGGCAGCTCGCTCCTCTTGGTTTTGAAAATAAAAATCTGAACTGCCTCCTCACTCTCACCAGAGTATGAGAACGTCCATCTCTCACCCTCCCTGTGCACCTCATGGCCCGGCCCCCGCCTCAGCTGCAGTCACACAGGCCTCCTCTCTGCTCCCACCTCAGGGCCTTTACCCTGGCTATTCCTTCGGCCATGGACACTGTTCCCCACATCTTCTCACGTCCAGCCTTTCCTGTGATTCGGGCCTCAGCTCATGTGTCAGTCAACCTACTCAAAGATGCCTTTCTTGCCCACTCCCCCACCCCTGTGGACAATCCCCTGCCCCAAGCAGACATCTAATCTTCCTGATGTATATCTTGCGAGCACTCCCCACTGCATTAAATTATCTTGTTTATTCGTCTGCTTCCTGTTTCTCCCTCTGCCTCTGCCCACTAGAGTGTCACCTCCTGCTCCCTGCCGTGTCATTGGGCTGGACACAGGGCCTGCCCTGCAGGAGGGGCTCAGTGACCACACTGGCCAGGGGATAGTGGCACAGGACAGCACCCAGCAGAAGGGGCCAAGCTGGGGGCATCACCAGGGAGGGTCGGCAATTCCTGTGTCTCACAGGGTCCTGGGGCTTTGAAAAATGCTGACGGCAAGACCTCAGCTACTGCAACCCATCAGAACATTTCTGAGTCTTTTCTCTGGAGTGGAGATGACAGGAAAACAAACAAACAAAACTGGGGGGTAGACGAGACGCGTTACAGCCACATGTCCACACAGGATTTTGTAGGTCACAAAACACCACCGCATGTAGGCTGTGTCCGTTTTACGGGTGCAGAAACTGAGGCCAAGGCTGCAGAGAGAGTTCGAGGCAGGCAGACTGGTCTGGAGCCTGAGGCTCCCGGGAAACTTCACTGAATCTGTGTCCCATAGGTCCTGATTTTCCCATTAAGCGGGCGGCGGGTTGGGTTGGGGGGCGGGGGCAGGATTTGTTTTGTGTTATTTAGTTTTCAGCAAAAGTTTTCCTGAGTCAGCCACCTGCTTCCGGCTGTCCCTGGGGACGCTGGCCTGGCCCAGACAGTGGGGACAGGAAGTGGGGGCCTCTGCGGGCCAGGCCGTCGGACGAGTGGCTGCCCCAGCCCTCGCTCCCATGGGGCCTCTGCTTGGGCGGCTCATCTGTGTCTGATTTTTTGTCTCAACCAAGCATCCCCACTGGGTTTGAGCTGATACGTGGACCCGCTCTAGGACGGACAGGGGAGATGGCCCTTGGGAGGGGTCCGGAGACAGAATGAAGAAGGACTGGTGTGAAGACTAAGGGTGTCCTACTCACCTCCTCTCTGGGCCTGCATCCTCCTCTGTGAAATAGCTTTTGAAGACAGCGGCCCCAGGGGCCGGGGTGAGAAGGGGTGACCCTTGGCGAGCCTGCCCAGTGACAGGGGAGGGAGCCCAGCGTCCTGCCGCCACCCACAGTGGCTCCCACACACACTCAGGTTTCAGTTCCCCTCGGGCCACCTGCAGGGCGATGAGGAGCCTGTGATCCGAGCATCGCCTCAGCCCAAATACCTCTCGTTTGCTCCCCAGGGTCTAAACCCCCCATCCGACCGTCACCCCTGAGTTCAGATGTGCGGGTTTGTAGATATGGGTGAACCCAGGTGACCACCGTTTGGCGGGGCTCCTCAGACCTCCCCCCGCCCCTGGGTCAGCAGAGGTGTCGAGTACCATGGGCCCCATGCTCAGGGCCACAGCTCAGGGACCAAGGGGCTGTGGGCTTTGCCCTAACACCATGGGGTGCTGGGGGTCTGGGTGGCAGCACTTGGATGTCCAACTCCAGTCCCCAGAGCTCAGCCCACCAACCAAATCTTCCTCTATGACCTGTGGGCAGGCCTCCCCAAAACGGGACAGGGAAGACCATGGAATCACACTGGGTGGGGCCGGCAACATTGCGTTCCTCCGGGAAGTGGGCCCCGGGGCTGGCGTATGCCCTCGGCAGGGGAAGCTGACACTCCTGGGTGACCAGGGGCCATGTCTCTCCTGCCCACAGATCCTGAATATGGAGGACGACCAGAACTGGTACAAGGCCGAGCTGCGGGGTGCCGAGGGGTTCGTTCCTAAGAACTACATTCGCGTCAAGCCCCACCCGTGAGTAGCTCCCCCACATCCACAGGCCCCCTGCCCCACAGCCAAATGTCCCCTCCCAGCCTGACCCAGACAGAGTGACCTGCAAGTCCTCACCCCAGCCTCCCTCCATCCATCTGGAGCCCCCTGTCTCTACTCTGATCAGAAGTGGGGGACAGAGATGTGATGACTGGTCCCAAGTGGTGGTAGTCCAGGCCAGTCCAGGCCACAACACAGAGGACCTGGGACACCAGAGAGCATCCGGGCCCTGGAGAGGACGGGGCCTGGGAGCTCAGCGGTGGGCCCACCGGCTGTGGCGTGGCCTCAGGCAGGCCCTGGCTCTCTCTGCTCCTGTTTCTCTGTCTGCAGCACAAGCAGCGCTGAGGTTCCACTCATGGGGGTGGTCCTAGGAGCCTGTGTGGGGGTGGGGGTGAGGGGCCAGGGAGGAGAGGGGCAGGAAGGAGGCAGACCTGAGGGCCCTGCCGTTGGAGCAGGAGAGAGGGGAGCTGGACACTGGCCCAACAGAGCTGGGACAGGGCAGAGCAGGAGTCAAGTGTGGGGCCCAGGCGTCCCCAGGCCTGGGACCTGCTGGCCAGGGAGGCCCCTGGTCAGCCTTCCAACACTGAATGCCCTAGTCTCAGCCCCAGGACAGGCCTAAGTGGCCAAGAATCTATGAAAAACCATGTGGATATGCGTGGAGTGAAGGCTGAAGTAGCCTTGAGACACAGTCATTCATCAAACACGGGCTATGGCCCTAGGCACCCGGCCTGGGTGATGCTGGAGACACGTGATGAGATGCTCGGGTCAGAGCACGGTGCTCCAGGGAGAGACAGGAGGTAAAGAAAGTATGATAAGAGAAGGCAGTCAGCATCGAGATAACTAACCAGGGAGGCCTTCTCGGAAGAGGTGACAAACGGAGGTTTTGAAGGATGTGTGTAGGAGTTAGCTGCGTAGAGTCAGAGAAGGGCATTCCTGGGAGAGGGGCAATGAGAACCCCGGCTGTGGGCCTGGCAGTGGGGCCCCAGATGCCGGGTGGAGAGTGGGAGGAGCCACGGATGGGTTTCAGCAGGGACAGGGGGCCTGCATCTGATGAGGAGGCAGGTGATGAGGCTGGGCAGGCTGGAGGGGGCAGGCTGGGAGCTGTGACATGTGTGTGGTTGTGGGGTAAAAAGAGAGGGAGGTTCAGGGCCAGGGTGGGGCCTGGAGGCCGTTTCCTCTTTATCTGTCTTCGAGTTCTTTCCAAAGCTGCCGCCACCTCCGGCTTCCTGTGTTGGGCAAGGCCTCTACCCACCTAGGTCCCCTGTCTGGCCTCCAAGCACTCCCACCCACCAACAGGTCCTGTAGCCTGGGCTCCAGGCCTGCAGGTCTCTGGGCTGTGTTACCTTGACTTCCGTAAAGGGAGACAGATGGAGAGAACATTCCAGGGCCACCAACCAGGGCCAGGTCAGTGAAAGACACAGTGGAAATGGGACCCTCCAGGTGGAGCCTAGGGCTCAGCGAAGACTGGGAGCCTAGGAGGTTGGAGGCCACTGAGAAACCCAAGTAGAGGCTTTGGTTTACACAGAAGGAAAGAAAAGCTGATGGATTTCAGGGCCATGCCCTTTGGGGTAATATGGTGGTTGAAGCCTGTCTCCACCAGGGCGGGTGGCAGCCATGGAAGGTTCCATGTCTGATGGCCCTGGGGTCCCTGGGGCTGTCTTTGGCCACTAGTGTCTGAGACAGATCAGGGACCAAGGGCAGATCACCCACCTGCCTCAGGCCGGGTCCAGGTGTGTCCTGGGCTAACTTTACCCCTGCCCTGGCTCCGAAATAGCAGTGGGGAAAGTCCAGCCAGCATCTGACTCAGCCCTTGGGGCTCCAGGGTGGGACATGGCAGGGCAGGGGTCTCAGGGGGGCCTTGATCACCACCACCACCCTGCAGCCCAGGGATCCCGGGGGAGGTGTGATGCAGGCCATCTACTCCCAGGGCCTCCAGGCATCTTGGGCAGGGTCCACCGAGGGTCTGACCCAGTCGTGTGGGGGTCTAGGAGTGCATGGTCTGCTGGGACCGGGAGGTAAAGTAGAAGTTTGTCAGGAGTGCGGGCAGACCAGCTAACGGTGGGGGAGGTGGGGTGCGCATGGGTGAAGGTCGTAGCAGTGGCGGTAAACCCCTGCAGGTGGCAGCGACCTCGTCCTCCCAAGGGCCCTGAGAGCTGGGTGCTCTTGTCACCGTCTTGTGGGCCATGAGACGGCGGCACAGAGATGGGTGGCCTGTCCAGGGTCAGAGACGGAGGGAGGTTTGCCTCAGGTGCCGTGGGCCTGGGCTGTGCCCACCAGGACAGAGTTGGGGAGATTTGCCAGGCAAATCCTGGGGGGGGGCGGCCTCTGCCCCTCCTTGGGTCTCACTTTCCAAATCAGTAAAATGGGGGCTAAGTGAGGAGTGGGTTGGGTTCTGAGTGTGTCAGGACGGGGAGACTGGTTTCTCTCATTCTGTCCTTTGAGCCACCGAGGACCTGGAGGGGGCTGGGCAGCCTCTTCAAGACTGCGGTTGCAAAAGCCTTTGAGGGTGACGGCCGCCCACACACGGACATCTCCTGTGGGGTTTTGTGGGTTCTTCAGAGACACCGGGCTCGGGAAACGCCCACATGGGGCCCCACTGGACCCCTGCTCCCCCCTCGGCAGCACCTGCACCTGTTCCTGCTGGGGGCTTCCCAGAGGAGCTCCGTTCCAGGCACCCCTGAGCCCCAGGCCCCCCACATCACAGCTCAGCCTCCAGCCTGGAGGCTCCTCCGGGACTCCCAGAGACGTGGGCTGAGCTCTCAGAGGCAGCCTGGAGCCCCACCCTTGGCTGCCACCTCCACTGCCTCCACTCCGGGTAAACCTGCTGTGAGATGGGCCCAGGCCTCCCCACCCCCCAGTATGGGGGCAGTTGTGGTCTAGAAGCTCACTTTTGAGGTATGGGCTCCCAGGAGTGGTGTCTAGAACACAATGTCAGGACCAGGATTTTATTTTGGGGTGGAAGGTGGGGAGGAGCCTTGGAACTGCTCCTTCCGGCCGGAACCAGGGAGCCAGCGCCATGAGCTGAGCAGGGTGCCTATCCTGCACCCCTCGGTCACCACCTAAGGACATTGGGGGCCCAACCCACCCGCACACAGGCCGGGCACATGAGTAAAAAGCCCTCAGAGGAGCTGCCAGTGCTCACACGTGGCAGGCAGGGGAGGGGCAGGTGGGGCTACGGGCAGGACCCCGTCTGCCTGCACCTGAGCCACTGTGCTGGGCTTGGAGGGCTCTCTGTCAACATCCTGACATGACAGGAAATTCCCGCCTCATATCCGCCCGGGCGATCAGACTCAGGAAGGGGAGAAGGGAAACGGTGCAGGGAAGGGAGGCTTGGTGGCCTCAGGGCGCCAAGGTCCCACGGTGAGATTCTGGCCACGCTGGGCTTTGGTTTCCCCATGTGAACATCAAGAGTGGACTAAAATCCTGGGGCTGGGAAGCCAGTTGGAGACCACCTGCGCCCTCTGAGGGTAGGCGATTCCCAAAGATCCAGACTCTGGTGCATTTACCAGCTACCTTCTATATACCCAGTTCTGTTTGGTCAGAAGGAAGAGGGACTTGAACCTGTGAGAAAAAGTCCAGGTGGCCTCAGTCTATGCATCTGTGAAATGGGTGCAGGGAGAGACCCTTCGTCACCAGAGCAAAGCAGCTATTTATCTTTGATGGTGGTTTAGTCGCTAAACTCTGTCTGACTGGAAAAAAAAAAAGAGAAAATAAATTGTGTTTGACTGTTCACAATCCCATGGATTGTAGCCCACCAGGCTCTCTCTGTCCATGGAATTCTCCAGGCCAAGAATACTGGAGTGGCTTGCCATTTCCTTCTCCAGAGGATCTTCCCCACCCAGGGATTGCATTATAGGCAGATTCTTTACCATCTGAGCCACCAGGGAGACCCATTTCTCCTTAGTCATCTTTAAAATATTTTTTCACTTCTAAGAACCTACAATAGGAAATGTAAAAGCCCAGGTTGGAGGTGGCTGGGTCGGAGTTCACTGAGTTGTGTGTTTGCCTGAGTGTGTATGCATGTTAAGTTGCTCAGTTGTGTCTGACTCTTTGTGACCCTGTGGACTGTAGCTTGCTAAGCTCTGTCTATGGGATTCTCCAGGCAAGAATACTGGAGTGGGTTGCCATGCCCTCCTCCAGGGGATCTTCCCAACCCAAGGCTCGAACCCGAGACTCTTACATCTCCTGCCTTGGCAGGCGGGTTCTTTACTACTAGCGCCACCTGGGAAGCCCCATGTGTTTGCCTGGTGTGGTGGCAAGGGCCTGTGCTTGGGAGCCAGAATGCTGGGACTAGGCGCAGCTCCTGTCTGCCACAATGTGTGACCTTGGGTACATGACCTCTGCCTCTCTGGGCCTCAGGTTGACAGTCTGTAAGCTGGGAGCAGGGGCACCTCCTGTGTCCAGGACTGCTGGGGGGACCTGGCGGTGATCGGTGCCTGGCACTGGGCAGCGTGGCCGGCCCCCCACTCTCACCTTGCCCTCTCTGCAGGTGGTACTCAGGCCGGATCTCCCGGCAGCTGGCGGAAGAGATTCTGATGAAGCGGAACCACCAGGGAGCCTTCCTGATCCGGGAGAGCGAGAGCTCCCCAGGGGAGTTCTCCGTCTCTGTGAAGTAAGTTCTGACCCGAACATGCGGAGGAGGGTGGGCAAGAACAGGCCTTCGGAGCGTTGAGGGAATGACACACCCCTGGAAGCAGATGACCATCTGGGGGTTGGGGGGTGAGGCGACTGCAGGGCCTGGCCCTGGGCAGTGAGGATGGGAGGCTGACTGTGAGTCCTCCCATACTGGGCCAAAGGGTTGGCCATTGTTCTGCGAGCAGCAAGTCACCAGGGGAAGCTGATATGACAAGGCTGCAGGGGGAGAGCAGCAGGCCCCCCGGGATGGGTGTCCAGGCTGTGCTCTGAACAGGGTCCCCCATGTGCTACACAGTCAAGAGGATGGACCCTGAGGCCAGGGTGCTTAGGTTCACATTCCAGCTCGTCCATTTCCTGTGTGATTTTGGGCAAGTCACTTAACCTCTCTGTACCTGTTTCCTCACGTGTAAAATGAGTTAATGCGAGGAGCAAATGAGTCATTCTATAGACAGCCATTAGAATAGTGGCTGCCACTGAAGCAGGGTAGCAGCCTCTGGGCAGCGCGGAACCTGAAACCAGAAATCACAATGGGGCAATGAGGAGTCCAGGTGGAAGGAGGGGCAGGAACTGGGGAGGGGGTTGGGCCCTGCTGGTCTCTGTCCTGCCACTTCTGCACCTGGAACAGGGGGATGTGGGTGCAGCAATTCAAGGACTAGTCACTGAGTTATGTGCAGTGTGCCGGGCAGCGTCAGGGACTCAGGAAACAACAGTGAAAAAATAAAGTTGCTGCCATTCAGGGTTTGTGTCTTAGTCGGGGAGACAGACCTTGAACAAGGAGAGAAATGAACACAGGAGGATCCAGGTGGCAGGGACGGATGGCCTCAGGTTTGAGCAGAGATCTGCAGCTGTGGTGCAGGCTGTCCCAGGGCTCCGGGAGTTAGGACGAGGAGGAGAGCTTCCAGGCAGAGGGAATAGCAAATGGAAAGCCCCTGGGGTGACTGTGCAAAGCCAGTGCAGGGAGGGGTGTCAAATCCAGAGAGAATGGCCTGACAGGTCCCGACCAGGAGGCAGGTTCCCCCAGAGCAACAGGCCCCCATGGAGCATCCCCACTAGGGGAAGGGAGTGGATCCCTTGGGCTACCGAGGAGAGAGGATGGCTGGGATCGAGGGGGGCCCTGGAAAGAGCCAGGCAGAGCCACTGGCGTTAGCACTGGGATGGAGCTGGAGGGTCGGGGAGGTGGCATGTGCCCGTGAATTTGGGACCACCAACAATAATACCACCATCAGGGCACTGGGCACGCAGCTGGATGGGATGGTGGGTGAGCGTGGGCAGCGTGGCCTCAGTGTGCTGGGTGGCACAGTATTCTAGGACTGGGAGGTGTCACAGCCAACAGCTGGCTGATTTTCCAATGGATAAACGTACATAGGATGGCTTTGATGGCTCCTGTGGGGGCAAGTCTGATGGGGTACCAGGCTCAGGGGAGGGACGAGCTTGTGTCTCCCAGCAGGCCGGCCATGAGGCTCCTGTTTGCAGAAATGTGCCCCGAGGGAGGCTTTCCTGTCTGCTCTGTACAGAGCTTGTGGTGGTGTGTGGTCAGCATACTGGAGCCCCGGCAGCTGGGCTTCTCCTTGCCAGGGTCAGGAGAGCAGCTGGGGATGGTGGTCCCACCTCAGGGGTCACAGCCCTCACCCGCCCCTCTCCAAGCTCTGTCATCAGCCTTGGCTTTCCTCACTTCCGTTTCCCCTGGGAACAGGCTGAGCTCCTGCTCCAAGGCCATGGCTCTCCTCCTCTGAGCCTCAGGGGTGGTGAGACACCAGTTCTTGGCCCTGAGCGTCTGGAGCCCCCTGGCTGGCCCCTCCCTCCACAGCCCAGCCCCTGAGGCCAGTGGGTCCCCGGAGGAACAGGAAGTGGCCATTTCCCCTGTGCTGGCTCCCAGGGCCCAGTATCTCCAGGGAAAGGCGCCCGCCAGGCGGGCTGGTCTGGCCTCGCTCCAGGAATCAGCTCCAAGGTCACCGCAAAGCAGGGCACAGGGGCTTCTTTGGCCACCCCTGCAGCCTGAGCTGAGCTCCTTCCCACCTCCCCTTCCCCTGAGAGTGGATCCCATGGCCTGAACTTCCGCCGTGGGTGCCCTGGCACCCTGCCCTCTCCTGGTGCCTCCCTGGGCATGCAGACCCGCCACCCCAGGCACGGGGTCAGGCCAGCCAGCTCAACCTTTTGGGGTGTGTGTGTGTAGGACAGGGGAGGAGTCCCTCGGGGATGAGGGACTGGGGTTTCCACAATGCCTGATTGAAGGAAGTTCGATGGCAGCAGACGCTCCACAGGCTGGAGAAGATGACATCTGAGCTGGGCCCTGAAGCATGAGTAGGAGTTTGGTGCACAAAGAGGAGAGGGGAGGCCAGGCCCAGGGAACAGCAAGTGTGAAGACCCAGAGGTGGGGTAGAGAAGGTGGGCTTGGAGAGCAGTTTGTCTGTCTGAGCAGAGGAGGGGGATGCACAGTTTTGGGGAGCCAGCACCAGTGCTGTCTGGGAAAGGGGCCTGGAGTGTCCCTCAGAGAAATCCCCACACACACACCGTCCCTCCTGCTCCACCCCAGGCATCCTGCCCAAGCCCTCTTCCCTAGCTCAGAGCCAGAACCCTGGGCCCCCGGGTTGTGGTGTGTACACAGCACCACCAGGTGGCGCCCTCCAGCCTCAGTTGCATCCCCCAGGGCCAGGATCCTGGGTCCTGCCCCTACTCAGGTCCATCCTCTGTCAGGGGGCCTTTCAGGGCCGTTGGAGGACCACCAGGCAGACATCAGAGCAGGAAACAGATTCAGGGCATCTGTGGCTAGGATATGAGCTTTTGAGTAAGACTATCAGCTGTATAACCCTGGGCAAGGTACCCTGGTCTGTTTCCTCGTCGGTGAGATGAACATCGATGTAAGGGGCTGAGTATGTTGCCAGCACACAACAAGTTCTCCACAAACGTTGGCTTCCCTGGTGGCTCAGCAGTAAAGAACCTGCCTGCCAGTGCAGGAGACACAGGCTTGATCACTGGGTGGGGAAGATCCCCTGGAGAAGGAAATGGCAACCCACTCCAGTGTTCTTGCCTGGGAAATTCCATCGACAGAGAAGGTGGGCTACTGTCCATGGGGTCGCAAAGCATCAGATATGACTTAGCGACATGAACAACAACAATCCCAAAAGCCAGCTGTAGTTGTCATTGTCATGTCAACCCTCCCAGGGCCACACAGTGCCTCCTGGCCCCAGCCCCGTGGTCCCAGGCTGTTAAAGAAAGGCCAGTGGCCATGTGAGGGTGGGCAGCCCAGCTCTCCTCCTGTGTAACCTCAGCAGATCCCATCCTCCTCGGCTGTAACGTCCTTATCTCCAGTGTGGAGACAGTAGCCAGGATGTCCTGAAGTCCAGTGACCTGACAGCCACCCTTCTGGGTGATGACTACACAGATGCATGTGCAAGAGCATTTCTGCCTCACTGGCAGGGCTCCCGGGACCTCTGATCCTACATGAGTAGCATCTCCCGCACGCTCCCGCCAAGCCTCGTAAAGCTGTCAGAGGTGGGGTTTATGGGCCTTGCTCTGCCTCCCGGAGTGACGGTGGCCACGGCTGGGTGACCTTTATGAGTTTACAAAGGGCTGTCACCGCCCACCCCCACCTCCGGGAGCATGTCTGAGCTGGCGGCCCATGGGCCAGGGCAGGGGTGTACGGCCTGGCTGTGTAACTTTTGCCTCCACTCTGATACAGGCTGCGGTGGGCTCCTTGGTTGGAAGCAGTTTGTTCCCCAGTGAGACTAGGAAGATGCTTGCTTCTTTTCAGGCTCAGGTGCCTGGGGTCCCAACCTGTTTGCTCTGTCCCTCTGGTTGCTGAGCCCCTACTGTGTGCCAAGCCCCGTGCCCAGTTTCAGGGACTCAGCTGCCAACAATTGAACAAAGCTCTCTGTCCTTTAGGCTCAGGTTCCACTGGGGCGACTGATAACTTTATACAGGTATGTATGAGGAGATATATATGTATAATTTATTAAACAGTTAGTAAATTATATAAAATCTTGGAAGATGAAAACGGCTCTTGGAAAATGAAGCAGAAAGAATCAGAGGAAGGCACAGTTTTATGCAGGCAAAGACAGAGAGGAAGTGACCTGAAGTCTGGTGTGCAAGTGAAGAAACAAAGGCTCAGAAGCATGCAGTAACTTGCCTGAGGTCACACAGCCAGAAACAGCAGAACTAGTGCCCATGACACCCCCATGACCTGAAAGACCAGGTCTGCCCTTCTGCTCTCCTTCCCTGAGGCTAAAAGCCCGGTGTTGGGGGTTCTCTCTCCACTCCCTTCCCAAGGTCAGTTTGATTCTATCTCACATCTCCTGCAGAACAAGTCATCCACCTCCTCCTTTTTCACAGATGGGAAGACTGAGTCTACAAAAAGGCCATGCCTTAACAGAAATCACCCAGTAGTCAGTCAGCAACCTAGCCTCCACCAGGCCACCAACCTGGTCTCCAAGCCCTGACTGGGGGCTCCTGGGGCCCCTGACACCTTACCCCAGCCTTGTTTATCCACCCTGGGCCACCGTCACCCTGGCTAATGCCGCCACCAGGCCAGAAAAACCTGCTGGGCAGGACCAGCGGCAGCTAGCATCAGGCCTGACTTCATCCTTTAGACTTTTCTGACAGCCCAGGGACCTGGCCCAGCCCTCACCTCCCTGGGTAGGTGGGCGTGGGGGTCACAAACAGGGATACACATACCCATGGCTGCTCAGAGACGGATGCACATGGCCAGCCTCCCAGAGCAGGGAGAGACACGAGCACACATCCAGGTATGATGGAGAGACACTGGCACACGCAGGCCCAGACATCACACACATACACCAGGCTGGGTGCCCCCTCCAGCTTGGGAGGACTCCCCCAGCAGGGCCACCCCTCCTGGCTCCGGGGCCACCTAGACTTAGACTCGGGCCTGGGGAGGTAGGAGACAGGCTGGCAGGGAGAGAGAGCCTGCCCAGGTGCTGGGTCCTCATGGAAGAGGGTCGGTCACTTGTCAGGCCAGGGGCTGGCTCAGAGGAGGGTCACGCCTGCTCACAGACACAGCAGACCAGCTGCCCCTGGCCATGGGCGGGCTCCTCTCCCCTCTGGGCCCTGTTATCCCATCTTCAGCCATGCACAGGCTGGGGGCTGGACCACAAGAGCTTCTCAGGTTTGAGAATCTGCCAGTTGTCAGGCTGATGAATTTGAGCAAACTCTGGGAGATAGTGAAGAACAGAGGAGCCTGGCGCACTGCAGTCCCCAGGGTCACGGAGAGTCGGACTCGAGTTAGCAATAGAACAACAATAAGGTTCTAGAACTGCTGGGTCCCTTGCCCCCTCCCAGGCCTCACCCCTCCCCTGGGTATGATCAGGGAACTGCTCCATTCCGGGTGACTGAAGGTAACCTTCAAACACCAGAGTGTTCAGAACTGTGCTCACCTGGAGCTGAGGTCTCCTCAAAACCCCTACACCCTCCTCTGCCCCTCACCCGGAGGACGGCTGCTGAACACACCCCTGGCTCCTCCTTGGAGATGGCACTGAATCAGGGCCACAGTCCAGGGGCTGGGAGAACCAGGCTCTGGAGGACAGGGCACGTGGGAGTCAAGGACCGAGGCTGCAGCAGGCCAGACAGATTGGAGGTGCCTGCCCACCTGCCTGCCCTCCTCCCATCCTGGGACGTGGACACACATGTCCCACAGCCGACAGCACAGCTGCTTAGTCACCTGGGAACAATGCTTGCTGACGGCACACGAGCGGCTTTGTCTCAGGCCAGGGTGATGGCTCTGTCTGGTCACAGAGCCTCCAGCATTTTCTGGCCTCAGTTCTGCAGGTGGACCTGGCTGCCCTGAGAATGGACATGTTTTAGAGGGGCTGGGACCACAGCTCAGAGCCAGCAGGGGTTGGGGGGTGTCGGCGGGGTCTGGGAATGAAATAGCCAGTGAGCATGGATGCCCTGGGCTGCCCCACAGTGTCCCTGACCGGATCCTCTCCCTGCTGGGTTATGCCTGGGCCGACTCCTGCCTTCCTGCCTTTGGGTATCTGTGAGCAACGGGTTGCAGGCAGGCTGCAAAGGGCTGAGGAAGACAAGGAGTCCCCTGACTCTGACTGAGGGCATCTGAGGCAGCTCACAGAGCTTGGGCTATATTACCCAGGCTTTGAAGCATAAGTAAGAGTTTGACTGAAGAAGAATTTGGAAGAAATAATGTAGCAGAGGCCAGGAGGCATGCTTGAAAGTGGAAAGAGAGACTACTCGTGGTTGGGATCCTTACCTTGGGCTGGGCGGGAGGATTCCCCCTCCTCCAGGCCCAGAGACATGCACAGAATGGGAGGTATTTACCTGGAACAAATCTTTATCTTAAATCTCACAAGGCAGCACGCCAGGCCTGGGGCTGACAGGTGGAGGAAATGAGCTCAGACAGGGATAGGCAGCTGGGGGATGGATGCTGAGCTCCGGTCCAGCACTCGGAAGGTGCTCCTCGAAGCACTCGGAAGGCAGGAGTGCAGGAGCTCTGGCTGCCCAGTCACGTGCGGCCCCTCCTGGCGTGGGCTAGGCCGAGCAGGGGAGGCACCGGCAGGTCCCTCCGCCCTGTGGCCAGTCTGGGAGAGGCAGGCCATCCCTTCATTTGGAAGGTGCTGGGCAGGGGGTGGAATGTGGTGCAGTTGGGCTGCAAGGCTGGGTAAAGGGAGGGAGAGGAGAAAGGGGTATGTTGATCACATCAGAGCATATTTGAAGAAAATTGAGGCTGGACAGGTCATCAGAGCCAGACCTTGAGATTAAGGTGTTAGGATTTTACCCCGAGGGCTGAGGGCTGTGGGGAGCCATGGAAGGTTCTTAAGGGGGAAGAGGATGGACAGGAAACATCGCACAGCCTGAGCCTCTTGCACACTGGCAGGGTTTGGTCTAAGTTGGGATGGTCTTAGGACTCGCCCCTCAAGGGACTGTGAGGGCTGGGAGGGGATGAGGTGGGGGAGGGAAAAGAGAGTTAAGGCTGAGGGGACGTTGGAGAGAAGAGGTGCTGTCTGGTCACCTCTCTCAGAGGAACCATGCAACATTGCCAATAAATGAGCGCTCACCCAGAAGGGAGGTGTTACTATGAGGAAACCGAGGTTCAGAGAAAGTAAGTGATTTGCCTAAGGTCACACAGCAAGAAAGTGTCCTGTTCCAGGGTCCACAACCCTTAACGCCACACTCCATGGCCAGGAGATTCCCTTCCTTGCACGGAGCCCGTGGGTGGGGCCTGGGACCCCTTCCCCACCTTGTCTCCTCCTGACTCGGTCCTCACTTGGAGAGGAAAAGGCCAGGTTCCAGCGGCAGGGGGAGGGCCCATCCAAGCAGCCGTCTGAGATGGCCTCTCCCCCAGCTACGGGGACCAGGTCCAGCACTTCAAGGTGCTACGCGACCCCTCAGGGAAGTACTACCTGTGGGAGGAGAAGTTCAACTCTCTTAACGAGCTGGTCGCCTTCTACCGGACCACCACCATCGCCAAGAAGCGGCAGGTCTTCCTGCAGGACGAGGAGCCCCTGCCCAAGGTGGGTGTGGTTGGGGGGGCGGCAGGAGGAGGGTCTAGCACAGCTTCTCCAGTTCTGTCCTGGGGATTGCCGTGAGGCAAGAGGAGTTGGGGGGCAGGGGAAGGCGGGAAGGGCGGGTAGAAACTTCTGGGCAAGCAGAGCCTGGCTTATTCTCAGCCAGAAGGTGTGCGTGGCACACACTAGGTGCTCAGTAGTTGTATGTTGAGTGAGTGAAGGTATGCCGCCTGCTGAGCCTACTGGGAGCCTGCACCTCACAGGTAGGAAACTGAGGCTCAGAGAGCAACCCAGGCCGCCTGCTGGGTGGGGTCAGCACTGGCTTCTGCTTGCCAGCAGCTGGCCTGGGGTTGGGGGGTGGGGCAGGGGGTGCCCGTGGGCCAGATCCTGGACTGGTGGAGGGGGTCTAGCCACCCCTCGTTCTCACAATAACAGCAATTTGCCAGCCGGCTCTTTCATCAAGGGGCCCTGGGACCAGGTCTCGGTCTCATTAGGGTGACGAAACCATCCAGTGGGGTTATTAGACCTGACATACTGTTTTCCTTGGGACGGGGTGTCAGCAAGGCCTGGGGCTGGAGGTCAGGACCCTGCACAACCTAGTGAACTTGGGTTCTGTGGGGGAGGGCGAGGGGGCCGCAGGCTGCTGCTCCAGTCCTGCCTGTTCCTAGGCCCCCCGACCCCTGCTCCTAGCCAGGTGTGATCTTAGGGCCAGTTCATCCCTCCCCTGGGCCTCAGTTTCCCCTGGGGCCAGTAGGATGAGCCCTGGGAGCTAATAGGAGAGTAAACAGTGTTTTTGGAGGACCCCCTCCTCCGCCTTATGCACCCTCATCCCATCAACACACTTAGCACCTGGCCCTCTCAGAGCTCAGTCTCAGGGACGCTTCCCCCAGTGGGTCTGCTGCCCGGGCCAGTTCTGCCCTTGGAAAGTGTGAGGGGGCCACGAGGGAGCTGGGGGATGCCGGAGGGCTCTCCCACACCCACTGCCTAGCTCTGGGGTCACCCGCCCTGCAAGGCGACTGCAGAGCAGGCCCGGCCCCTGGGACCCAGGCTGCCTCCTCTGTCCTGGGCAGAGAACCACTAATTACAGCCTGTCCATGATCCTATCTCCTGCCCAGATGAGATTTTGCAGGCTCGGAGCAGATTGCCTGGCGGGCAGGCAGGGCCAGGGTGCTGGGTGTGATCATCACGGCGCCGGGCTGACGTGCCTGGGGGGGAGCTCTCGTCCAGTAGCCATTTGCAGGGGGCAACCAAGTCCCACAGAGGTCAGGGACTTACCCACGGCCACTGGGGCACAGGTGGGACTAGAGCCCAGCCTGAAAGATGGAAGTGTGCAAAGTGACATCCTTTGCCTCAAAGCCTGGCCAAGGTCAACAGCAGCAGTCTGCTCATAGCCACACATCACTTTACAGTTTACAAGGTCTATTCCCGTAGGTCTGGGGCCTGGAGTCAAAAGCTCAGGAGAGAGCCCCCAAGACGCTCAGGGACCTAACCAAAGTCCCATGCTGAGGCCCAAGACTTGGTCCCTTGATTGCTGGCCATGTGGTCCCAGCTGGGCTGCCAGGACAGACCCTGTGGAAATGCAGGGTCTGTGCTGCAGATGTGCAGGGAGCAGGCAGTGGGAGGCCCATGGAGGGTTGGGGTAGGGGGATGGCTGTCGTCTGAACCTGGACACAGAGCTGGGTTCAATCCCAACTCTGCCTCCTCTTGGGGCTTCCTTGGGGACAGCCCAGCCAAGGGCTCCTGAAGGGCCCACTGACCGTCTCCTCCCTCGCAGCCGCCCCGGGCCTGCTTCGCCCAGGCCCAGTTTGACTTCTCAGCCCAGGACCCCTCCCAGCTCAGCTTCCGCCGCGGTGACATCATTGAGGTCCTGGAGCGCCTTGACCCCTGCTGGTGGCGGGGCCGGCTCTCCGGGCGGATTGGCTTCTTCCCGCGGAGCTACGTCCAGCCGGTGCACCTGTGACCAGAGTGGGCCCAGGGGCTGAGTCAGTGGACCCGCCGTCCACCAGGCACGTGGAGAGAGGACACTGGCGCCCCCAATCCAGGGCTTTGGACAGGAGCATGGGCTTCTTGACTGTCTGGCTGGCCTCTGGTACTTCATGCTAACTGGGATGGGCCCAGCGCCCCGGAACCACTGCCACGTGCGGTGCCCACTGGCTTGGGGGGCTCCAGGGCCTCCGCCGGCCTCTGACATCACAGGGTGGCCAGCGGGGCCCGTCCACTCCAAACACCAATGCCCTGCCCCAGGAGGGCTGAGGACTCAAGCTCCACTCACTGGGGCCTCAAGCCAAGGAACCACAGGCTGAGCCTGCCTGTTCCTCCATTCAAAGCTCCAAGGGCTGGCTACTCGGTAGGGGGTCAGGGCCCTGTGTACCGGTGACCTAGACTTGCTGGACAGACCCTGGTGGAAAGGGACTTCTTGGCTGTTCCTCGGAGACTCTGGACTCCACAGGCCTCCAACACCCCTGTTCACTGCAGACACTTAGTATGGAGTTGGGGGTGGAGGCGAGGTCCTGAGGAAGGAGGGCAGGGATGGGAAGAATGGAGGCAGCTGCTCCTTGCCACTGGCCCCATGGGACGGATGCACTCCAAGGGGGCAGCCCTGGACATGGCCCCCTAGGAGACACAGCTGCACCTGCCATATTTGTTGAGGCCCAGGTTCTGCTCAGACCAGGGCCTCAGGAAGCAGGGGTCACTGCAGACCAGGTGGGGAGCTGGGGCAAGAGCTGGGCTTTGGGGTCCAGCAGCATCCAGGATGGGGGCAGCCTTGGTGGGCCCGGCTTAAGGAGAGGCTGGGTATCCATGGGGACGGTGCCACCATATGACCCGGGACGCTCGGAGGCCCAAGCTCTGGTGAATTCTGTGCTCATGACCTGGGCCCATGAACTCAAAATAAATACAGTAAAATAATATAAGGATGTTCATGAGAAATCTCATTTTCTTTCCAATTACAACTACAATTTTTAAAGTATCTGACATTCTTTTTTCCCATTTTCTCCCTAATCTTTCAGGGCTCCTACTTGGCTGGCTTGGCCAGTCCCTGGGCACTGGCCTGCCCTGTGGCCCAAGGCACGCCACCCTCCTCTGGGCCTTGGTGTTCTTGAAGGGGAAAGGGATGCTCTGGGGGCAGCGTCAGGCGAAGTAGGTGTAGAAGAAGATGTTGACGCACATAAGGAGGATGGCGTTGACACCGCAGACGCGAGCCCAGAAGGCATGTCTCTGGGATGCTCGGCCATCACCTGGGGGTGGTGGGAGGAACAGGCATATGAGGGGCACAGGGTCCCATCCAGTGCCCTTGCCTACCGCCCTGCCACGGGTGGGAGCAAGAGAGAAGCCTAGGGTCACACACACACACCTGTTTTCACTCCTGAGGGCAGGTCCTGAGCCAGAGTCCACCAGGTCAGGCTCTGGATCTACAGGGAAGGGCAGGGGTGAGCCCAGACAGGGGTCAGTGATGGAAAAAGGGCAGGGACTAGGGTTAGATGGGGTTACAGGTCAATACCTAGAAGATTCCTGAGTCAGAGAGGGTCAGAGGCCAGGGGTGAGGGCAGGCTCACCTGGACACCCTGGGGGTGTGGCGTCAGCAGGCTCCCAGCTACCACCACAGCCCCGCTGAGCAGGAAGAGGGCCACGGCGAAGTGCAAGTAGTGGACACCAAGGAGGATGGGGGGCCGTGTGTCGGGCTGGCCGCAGAGTGGGGCTGGGTGCAAGAACTCCAGCACCAGCCTCGTGGCACCCACCGCCAGCCCCGCCATCAGGCCCCAGAAGGCTCCCTGGAGGAGAAGGCAGGGCCTCTGGGGCCTTAGGAGGAAGGCCAGGCCTCCCCCACTCAGCACCCAGGCAGCAGGGGAGATGAGCCCTGAAGCTGCCCGCTCTCCCCACATCCCACCTGCTCATTGGCCCGCCGCCAGAAGATGCCCAGGACGAAGACTGCGGTCACTGGTGGGGCCAGGGAGCTGGTCACCGACTGCATGTAGATGAAGAGCTGCCCGCCGTTGGAGCCCTGCAGGACGGGGATCCAAGCCACACTCACGCCGATGAGCACCACGATGACCAGCCTGCAGGCGGCAGGGGCCAGGCCATCCTCAAGACCCCCACCCCTCCCCCACCTCCCCCAGGTCACTGAGGCTGGCTCTCCATCTGTCCCCTGCTGCCGGAGTTCCAGTCTCCTCCCTGGCCCCTGATCCTCTCCTCCAGGGATGTGGCTGGCCTTGCCCTCTCCAGACTTCCATGGCTCCCTGCTGCCTGCAGGAACCGCCCCCGACTCAGCCTGCGTGCTCCCAGTCATTCCTGCGGTCTCCCCCTGGTCTCCTGTCCATCTTCAAGGCCCGACCCCGCCTCTCTGGGTTTGCTGCCATCTCCCACTCCTGGTGACAGCAGCCTCATCCTTTAGTTCACTGCTGCACCTCCCGGCACACAGTAGGCGCTCAATACACATTTGTGAATGGCCTGTTGCCCTCACATCCAGGCCAGACTGACCCCCTAGTGGTTCTTCAAACCCTGGCAGGCCTTTGAAGGAGTTAGGACCTCTGGTGGCACACCCCACCCTCTGCTGTGCGTGGTTTGAAGCCCCTCCCCCTACCCCCGTGTGGACACCTCCTCTCAGCTCCTGCCTGCATCTGGCTGGTGTGAGCCACCCTCCGCACCCCCACCCCCCAGCAGGGATGTGTTTCGCTCATTCCTCCATGAAGCATTCATGAGGAGCCTGCCCGAGAGGATGGGGCGTTGGAGCTCAGTCTTGGTGACGAGCAGGCCTGGTTTCTGCCTTGCCCCCAGAGTGGGGTATTCAGTCATTGTGTGCTCAGGGCTGGGTTGAGGGAGCCCAGAGGAAGCATCAATCCAGGAGGACTTCCAGGAAGAGGGGGCCTTGCAGCATTGGGGGACAGAACTAGGGCGAGGTGTCCGTATGCTTCTCTCTGCTAAGGGCCCCCTGCCTGTATCCTGGGTCACTTGGGTGTCCCTCACCCTCAAGGAGGGTAACAGGTGGGACCCTCTGGGACTCCAGAAAGGACAGCAAGAGGCTATGTGTGCAGCTGGGCGGGTCCTCCCCTTCCCAGCCTAAGGGAGAGGGTGGAGGAAGGAGGCGCCCCCTTGATTAGGGCTAATTAACCCTCCGCCTGGCAGGCGGCGGGCACTGCCCTCTTCAAAGGCACAGGCAGGCTGCACCCCACCCTCCTTGCACAGGCCCCGCGTCCAACACCAGACTCAGCATCTCTCACAGGGCTGGGCCTCTGCAGCCAGACTAAAGCGCGGCCCTGGCCCTCACCAACCTCTGGGGTTTGCTCTTCTGACTCAGCCCCCACCAGGCTGCCAGAGGGACCCCAAACCCAGAGGCTGTTCCTTCTGCCTGGAATGCCCTAATCAGCTCCTCCCCCAGCAAAACCTCCTCATCCTCCAAAGCCCAGCTCGAGGCCCTCCTCCTCCAGGAAGTCTTCCTGCCCCCCTACCCCACACCCCACTCTGCTGTCAGGATGACAGGCCCACTCCATTGTCCCTTGGCTGCAGCTGTGGTCACTTGAGGGGAGCCCCTCAAGGCCAGGTGTCTCTGAGATCTCTCTGGGTCCCAGGGAGGCCCGGCACAGAGGACTGAGTAACAGGAGTGGGTGCCGGGAGGACCAGGGAGTGGGGCTTGCGACGCCAGTCATGAAGTGATTACACCCAGAGGCCTGTGGTGGCTCCTCCAGCCCCCCACCTGAGGAGACCCATGGGGTGCCCAGCGTCCCCATGGTGCCAGGATTCTGGGGGACCCCAGTTGCCCTGCCCTGTGTCCTGTCTCTCCTTGGGCTGGGGCTCCAGAGACCCAGAGACTGCATGGTGGAAACACAGCTTGAGCAGTGCTGTTTTAGGCGGGAAGCAGGCTGGAGGTATTGGGGGTATGCTGGTGCTTCAAGAGGGCAGGTGGCAGGGCTGAGCCCTGGGGCCCAGAGAGGGTGAGCAGCCGGGCCCGCATCACACAGCTGTGCACCCACAGGCAGGCTGGCAGAACCCAGGGTGGGCTTGCCTGAGTGGATGGGCATGAAGGTAGGCCAAGGGTACTGTGTGGGGAGTGGGCTGCATGGAGGGGAGACCAGCTCAGAACTGGCCAGGAGGCAGCAGGCAGGGGCTGTGGAGCCACCAAAGTGGCCCTGCGGCTGCCGTGTCCAGCCAGGAGGGCGAGGCGCGCCCTGGGTGGTAGGAGGACGCCCAGTCCGGCATCCGGGAGGCTAGAGCTGGAGGGGCCCAGGGAGTCAACTGGCTGGGAAAGGTGGCCCGGGCGCTGACTCTGGGAACGGAGGGAGGGGCTCCCTACCCCGGAGGAGGCCCAGGCCACGCGGGAGCCCACACCTGCCGGCTGGCGTGTCCCAACACAGGCGGCTGTGCTGCGTCACGGGACGGCTGCCTGGAGCTCAGGGGACCCCACCCCGAGGACGGGTGCCACGCGCTCTCAGCCGGAGGGGGCACTGCTGGGTCAGGCCCAGCACCAGAGAGCAGTGTCCTCTGGGTGGGCAAAGTGGGGGGTCGCTTGGCTCAGAGGGAGATAGGTGGGGCGGGACCCCTGAGAGGGCACCAGCTCCCCTTCACCAATCACAGAGTCTCAGCCCGGGAGCTCCTGGGGACTTAGCCGAACTTGGGGATGGAGGGTTGGGCCAGACACAGCTACACCCACAGGAGGGGCATCAGAATACCAGCGGGACCTAAGAGGCCTGCCTGATCTACGGGAGCCACTGGGCTCTAGATCCTACACGGGGCTTCCAGGGGAGGGGACTCAGTCCTTGCCCAGGGGTATCAGGTGGGCTGCCAGGAGGAGGGGCACTTAAGCAGATTCTAGAAAGATTAGATGAGTCATGGGATAAAGATGGGGCAAGCAGGGCTCAGAGGATGTGCGCAGAAGCTCAGTGGAGCCAGAGGGACAGCTACAGCCTGGGTGTGGCCACGCTCAAGTACTGGCTCCTGGCCTCTCTGCAGCAGCTGGGATACAACAGGGGACTAGGGGCTCAGACCCAGAAGGACATCTCTGGATGTTGGGGAGGGGGGCTTTCCTAGCAGACTCCCTCAGAGGTCCTGACTGGAGTAAGAGAGCTACCCAGAATGGGCATGGCCAGGGGCCCGATATGGAAGGTGGAGCAGTATGTTCTGGCTCGCCTGCTCCCCTCCCCTCCCCTCCCCTCCCCCCCCCCCTCCTTCCTGGCATCGTTCTATCTCCGACCAGCAAACTCATACTCATCCCTCAATGCCCACCTCTGGGGGGTCCTCCTGGGCTGAGGGTGTGCTGGGGAAGCCCTCCTCCCCACCCCTCCCCCATACCGTCCCACCAGTAGCAGCTCCCGCTCGCCTGCACGGGGCCGCAGCCGCTTCCAGATGTCCATGGTGAAGAGGGTGCTGCTGCTGTTGAAGATGGAGGTCAGCGAGGACATGAGCGCAGCCATCATCACAGCAACCATCAGCCCCCGCAGACCTGGGGGAGGGGTACAGGCTGCTGTGACCTCCCTGGGCTGCTCCCGGGCCCTGCTGACAAGGCCCCTCCAAGTGCCCGCAGGCAGAGGCCCCCAGGGTGGGGGTGAAGGTGTTGGAGGTGGTGGGAGGAAGACCCTGACTCGGGAGGCTGGGGCTGATGGTGGGCTCCTGCAGCGGCAGACAATGTGTCTGTTCTCAGCCTCTTGTTTCTACAGAGCTTCCAGTTGACAGAGTGCTTCCACACGAATTCATCTGATGGATGAGGAGGTGGACGCTCAGAGAGGGGAAGAGAGTTGCCCAGGGAGGCACAGCAGGCCAGAGGCAAAATCCAGGGGTGGTCAGGGAGTGACAAGGGACCCTCAGCCTGGAGCCCACACCCCGGGCAGGGTGCAGGGGCCCAGGGCCCAGGGCCCAGGGTTTCTGCTACTTCTTGTGCATGGCCACAGCAGGCTGAGGGCCCCTGTCTTGTTGGCACAGGGGAGAGGAGATAAGGCTGCCCAGCTGGGGGATAAAAGCCCTTGAAAATGAATGAAGGGCCCACATCGAGGTGGGCAAGGCCCTGCTGTGCAAGGCCTCCTGGGGGTCGTAGGCTCGAAAGGGGCTGAGGGTACAGAGGACTCAGTGCTGTGTGACTTTAGGTTGATTGGCTCCCTCTCTGGGCTTTGTCACAAGTCTGTCTCCAAAGTTTCTTGTGCTTTTTCTTCAAGTGTCTAAGCACCTCCTCCACCTCTGCAGATTCCCTGTCTGTCCTCCAGCCCCCCCAACACCTACACACCCCTCCCAGACCCCAGGAAACACCACCTCCTCCGAGGGCTCAGCCTTGTAGATGCCACTGCTCGCCTGGCCCTGGATCTGCGTCTGACCTGCTGTGTGACTTCCAGACATCTCATAGCCCTCTCTGTTCACTAGGCTGGCTGAGATGGGGCCCAAAGCAAAGTGAGTTAAATCATGGTTTCCCCCCAAACATTTCTCCAACCTCCTTCTCTTGCTCAGGGAGGTGGATTACCTTGGGGTTTATACTCCTCCTATTTCTCAGACGGGGAGCTCATGACCTTGGAGCGGGATCTCTAGGGGTTGTGGTGAGCCCCTCAGAAGAGTACAGGCAGATGACGCCCCCAGGCGCGAACCCACAGGGCAGCCAACCCCTGTGCCGGTCAGTTTCCCTGTGCTGTGTTTAATCCCACACGCTGAGGGGTGAGTAGGCATCATTATCCCCTATTTACAAACGAGGACACGAAGCTGCGAGCAGGGAAGAGCCTTGCCCCAAATATCTCTGCCAGCAAGTGGCAGAGCCCAGGCCTGGTCCAGGAGGGAGGGAGGGAGAGAGGAGCAGGGCGGGGTCCGAGCTCCCACAGTGGGACACTGAGAATTCAGAGGTGAAGCCAGCAGAGGACAGCCGTCTCCTCTGTTTGCTCCGGTGGGACCACACCCCTTGTCCTGTGTCCTGCTTTCACACCCTGTATCACACTGGCCAGGAATGTGGAAACGGCCAAAACATGCCCATGTTCTCTGGTCTGCAGGGTCTCAGGGAGGCAGAAGCTGTAGGCTCAAGGCAGGGCTGGGCCCCTTGGGCCCTGGCGGAGTCAGCAGTGGACTTAGGGGCCAGGAGACTGAGTTCTGTGTCTCAGCCACAAGCTACAAGCCTGGGACGAGTCACTTTCCTCTCATCTGTGTCTCAGTTTCCACATCTGTAAACACAGCTAAGAACTCTGCCTCATAACATATAGGAGAGGTCGTTTGTGAGTGGGCCTGACACCCAACAGGCCTGAAAGACGAGAGTGTGGCAGCCTTTCTCTGGGGCAGGGCCAGCACAGGCTAAGAGGATCCCCCAGCCCCAAGTTCAGACCCCAGCTTTGCGGCTTGCTTGTCACCTGACCTTGGCCAGGGCACCTTGGGTCCCAGCTTCCCCATCTGTAAAGCTGGGATAAGGGACTTCCCTGGAGTTCTGGGCTTCCATCACAAGGGTTGCAGGTTCAATCCCTAGTTGGGGAACTAAGATCCCACGTGCCTTGCAGGGTTGCAAAAAATTTTTTTTAAAAAAAGAGGGTATGATGATTAGAGCACCAGGGTTCCTGAGAAGCAGGTGCAGGTCACCCTGTGTGACCCCTGGGCATGGTGCTTGGTGCTTGGTGCATGGTGGGCGCCCTATGTGCTTTCTGATTCCTTTCCTCTCTTCCCCCAGGAGCAGAACATCCCACCCGGGTGTCACACAGGGTCACGCTGGATCCAGAGTGGCCTCCATCACCCCCAGGGTCCCTTGTCAGACCCAGCCAGGGCCTCACCTGTGGGCATCAGCTCCATGACCAGCTTGGGGTAGGCGATGTTGGAGCAGCCGATTTCGACCCCGCAAGCCCGCAGGCACTCGGCTGGCACCACGCAGCCCACGTCATCTGCAGGAGAAGGATTCTCAGTATCCCTGGCCTGCCCCCCACCCTGGGGTGGGGCAAGGAGCCTGACTGGTCCTGCTCTGTCACCACCTGCCATCAGCTGCTGCTCGGCCCCGGGCCTGTTTCCCGGCCAGGGTGACAGACAAGGAGGGGGCCGGTCTTGGAGCACTATTCTGTCCCTGGACACCCTCTCTTCCTTCCTTCCTGTCCATCACCACGAGCCTGTCCATATCCAGGATGCCAGCTCCCTGTCCCCACGCGGGGCTGGGGCTCCCCTGCAGGGCTGCCCGCCCGAGCAGTGGTCAGCGGTCAGTCTACCATCTGCTGTCTCCCTCCCCCACCTCCTGCCCCCAGCCCTTCTCCCCAGAGGAGCAGGTGAAGGCCCTCCCCTCTGACTGTCTCCAGCAGCTTCCAGAGGACTCTTCCAACAAGAAGGGAGAGTCCGCACAAGACTCTCTGGATGCCAGGCTCCTCCAGGCCGGTCTCCTTCTGCACCCTCCTCTGACAGCATCCCAGCCTCCCCCCACCCAACCTCCCTCTTCCAGGCCTTCCCAGGGGCTGCTCAAAAGTCATCTCCTCTATCTGGCCCATAAGGATGGGACCAGGTTTTGTTGCAGACACTCCCCGTGGCGGAGACAGCGCCTACTGCGTGGCCTCTGAGTGGATGTCCAGGGCCTCAACCCAGACTCAGACTGAATCTGAAGTTTCCGCCTCCCTCCCAGCACCATTGGCCTTGACCCCTGGGTTTTCAGCAGCAGCGGGGACAGGGAGGGGGGCAGAGGAAGGCAGAGAGTGACCTGCGCTCAGAGAGAACAGGGGACGGGCATGCAGCCGCTTGGCACAGGGGTCTGTTTGGGGTCAGAATGTTTCCACGTGTAGCATCGACGTTTCTGTCACCCAGAGCCCTCCTCATGGACCAAGCACTCCTGGGTTAAGATCCCTCCTTAGATGCCCAACCCACTGTGGAGGGTCTCTGGTCTCCTCCCTTGAGCCAGTGGGACTGGAGTAGCATCACTCCGCACCCTTGATCCTCAGCCCGTCTCCAGCCCAGCCTCTCCTGAACACCAGGCTCCTAGGATATCTGCACCATCAGCCTCCAGGCTGTCTGTCCTCCTCCCCACTGCCAGTCCACCAGCCCCCAGCCCAAGGGGGCTCCTCCTGTCACCTGCCCCCTCCACTGGGCTCCCTCTACCTGCTGCTCTGTCTTCTCATTGGCCCTCTTCCACCTTCTGCATCCTCATCCTTTCAAAGTCACAGCTTTGCTCTTGTCACTTCCTTCTCAGGAGCCCCCTCCCCAACCTGGAGCCCATGGCTTCCTGGAAAAAATTTCCTTTCCACGACATTCAGACAGTCAACATTAGAGGCCCTGGACAGCCAGGCCCAGGCCCTGTCCTCCCAGCACCCATGCCGGCCACACTGACCTGCTTGTGTTTTCTCACACACACCCAGCACCCTGACGCCTTTGTGCCTGGGCAGACGCGGCTGGGCTGCCTCCTCCCACTGCTCCTGCTCCCTCCCTACCCTTGTTTGCCTCCTGCTTCATGCCTGCTGCAAAGGATTTGCTCTCAGAGTCTTTCCATAACTGTCCCCCAACCCCTCCCAGGCAGAGCAACTTCCTCCCAAGCCCTCCTAAAGCCCAGGGTTGAATCACAATTATTTGTTTGCATATTTCACCTCCTCCACCAGACTGGGAGCTCCCCAAGGGCGGACACTGGCTTTGAATCACCTCTGCTCCCAGGTATCACCCAGTCCAGGGCTGGGCCCAGAGAAGATACTCTGTGAACATCTGTGAATGAATGAGTGAGTAAATAAGTGAATGACTGGAGGAAGGAGAAAGGCACAGAAGGCCAGGAGGAAAGGGAGAAAGGAGCCCATTATGCCCTAGTGGGGAGTTCAGGCACTGTTTGATCCAGCTGCCTTGCCCACAGCTGTGCAGATGTGAGAACTCAGGATCAGAAAGGGCATAAGTTGTCTAGGACACATAGTCAGACCCAGGATACAGCCTGGGGTCCCCTGGAGGGACTCTGGGTCCAGGTGAGGGCAGGTGACTGGCCCCTCCCAACAGGTTCTGGGCTTGGACTGGCTGGCTCTGCATGTAGAGGACTCAGCCCTCCCGGAGGGACGGATAAAGAGTCACAGACACATAATGGCTTGAAAAGCCAGAGTCAGGAGATTCTGCCCAGGTTTTTTCAGCCTGTTGCAGCCCATTGCAGGCTCCCGGAATGGGGCCCTGCCTCTGGGCACCTCAGGGTTTGTGCCGAGCAGCAGGAAAGAACCACCTCTCCTCTGTGACAGCAGCAGAGGTGTCGTCGCCACCTAAACACCAGCCCCCATTGGTGCCCACTCAGAACTGAGCAGCCCCAGGCCGAAGGTGGGGCCAGGGCCCTGGGTGAGAGGCTCTGGCCTTGTCTGGTGCTGGACTCTGCAGGCCTGCGGGGGTGTCCCCACTGGCTCCACCCTGACATCAGCACCCCCACCCAGTGGGGGCCCACGCCAGAAGCCTGAGGGCTGCCTACCTCCCTACCCCCCACGTACTCCTCGCTTTTGGCCAGTGCCAAGTCCAGTCACTGGGCTTGGGGACCAGGGAGGCTGTACCACCTGCCCCCTGTAACCCACTCCCTGTGGGAGCTTCTAAGACCATCAGTCTGCCCACACTGCTTCCTGTTCACAGCCTCCTGTGGCCCCCATCTCCCGCAGGAACGACCATGGGGCTCTAGCTGGGCACTACAGCCTCTTGCCCATGTGGCCACCCTAACTACCACCAAACTTTCACCCACAACTCCAGGCCTCTGTGTTTGCTGTTCCCTCTCCCTGGAACACCCTTCTGAAACCCAGGGAGCTCCTCCTGTCTCCTCTCGGCTCTAAGGCATCACCCTCCACGCGCGCCTTCCTGCCTCTCCACAGACGATACCGCAGGAGCCCCTGGGGGAGCCTGGGCCCCAGGCGTGCACAGCATAAGCCCATGCGTGGCGGGTTGTGCCTGTGTTTGTTGACTGACTGAATGACTCTCTTCTAAGCTGGTCACTCGACACACCACCCCAGGGAGTAAACAGGGTGCTCCCCACTCCCAGGCCAGCCTGGTTCATCCCTGGGAGCCAGTCTAGACACTGATGTTGCAGGAGGAAGAGGGAGAAAAGAAAAGCACACAGACCTGCGTTTGGGTCCAGTTTTCCCAAACCCATACTGTGTGCATGCTCAGTCGGTTCAGTCGTTCCCAACTCTTTGTGACCCCATGGACTGTAGCCCATCAGACTTTTCTCTCCATGCGATTACCTAGGCAAGAATACCGAAGTGGGTTGCCATGCCCTCCTCCAGGGGATCTTCCCGACCCAGGGATCGAACCCATGTCTCTTACAGCTCTTGCATTGGCAGGCGGGTTCTTTACCACTGAGCCACCTGGGAAGCCTCCCGTACTGTGTGGTCCTGGGAAATTGTTCTCAGGCTGTTTCCTCCTCGGTAAAGCCCTTCTAGGGACATCCACAGCCAGTGACTCAACCTAAACTTCACACCTCACACAAATATTAACTCAAAATAGACCACAGATTTAAGTGTAAATTACCAAACTTCAAGGAAAAGAAATAGGAGAATATCATCAGAACCTAGGGCAAAATGAAGAGTTTTTAGACTTAACATCAAAAGCATAATCCATAAAATGAAAAATTGACAAAATAGAGCTCAGCAAAACTAAAGCTTTGGGGATTTCCCTTGAGGTCCAATGATTAAGACTCTGAGTCCTCACTGCTGAGGGCCTAGGTTCAATCCCTAGTGGGGGAACTAAATTCCACAAACTGCACAGTGTGACCAAAAAAACCCCAAACAAACAAACAAAATAAAACAAAAAAGAAGAAAAACAAACAAACAAAAAACACTAAAGCTTTTGCTTTGTGTAAAACATCATCAGTGAACAGGATGAAAAGAAAAGCTACAGAAACAAATTCAATAAAGTCACAGGAAACAAGATCCATACTCAGAATCAGTTGTTTCTCTATGCTAAGTGTGAACTGTCAGAAAGAAAAATTCAGAAAACAACCTTATTCTTTTTTAATGCTATTTACAACATATATATATATATAATACATATATATACATACACATATAAAAAGTTGCTATTCATTTATGTATTGTAAATATGCTGTTTACAATACATAAGAAGTTTACAATAGCATAAAAAAATAAGATACCTAGGAGTAAATTTAACCAAGAAGATAAAAGATCTGTACACTGAAAACTATAAGACACTGAAAGAAACTGAAGACGACGCACCAAAAAATGAAGATATTCCATGCTCACAGATGAGAAGAATTAACAGTGTTAAACTATCCATACTACCCACAGTGATCCATAGATTCAATTCAATCCCTATCAAAATTCCAATGATATTTTTCACAAAGATATTAAAAACCATCCTAAAATATTTGGATGGAACCAATAAAAGATCCTGAGTAGCCAATGGAATTTTTAAGAAAGGAAAACAATGTTGGAGACATCACAGGCCCTGATTTCAAACCAAACTATAAAGCTGTAGTAAACAAAACAGTGTGGTACTGGCACCAAACAGACACATAGATCCATGGAACGGAATAGAGACCAAAAGAAAATGAAAGTGAAACTGTTAGTCACTCAGTCATGTCCAACTCTGTGACCCCATGGACTGCAGCCCACCAGGCTCCTCTGCCCATAGAATCTTCTAAGCAAGAATACTGGGATGGGTAGTCATTCCCTTCTCCAGGGAATTTTCTTGACTCAGGGATCGAACCCAGGTCTCCAGATTTGCAGGCAGATCTTCTCACATACACGGTCAATTGGTTTACGACAAAGGAGTCAAGGATATACAATGGGGAAAGGATAGTTTTTGCAATAAATAGTATTGGGAAAACCAGACAGTGACATGCAAAAGAATGAAATTGGACTCCTGTCTCACACCACATGCAGAAATCAATTTAAAGTGGCTTAAAGATTTGAATGAAGACCAGGTGCCATAAAACTCCTAGAAGAAAACATAGGTGGTAGCTCTTTGACATCAGTCTTGGCCATGACTTTTAGGATTTGACACCAAAAACAAAGGCAAAAAAAAAAGTGAGAAACAAAAACAAACAAATAAAACAACTAGGACTACATCAAACTGAAAAACTTTTGCACATCAAAGGACACAATCAACAAAATGAAAAGGTATCTTGAGGAGAAAATATTTGCAAATTGTGTATTTGATAAGGAGCTAATATCCAAAATTTGTAAACAATTCATGCACTCAGTATCTAAGACTAAAACCCACAAACAAATCCCCAAAATTTGCTTTAAAGATGGGCAGAGGAACTGAACAGACAGGAAACAAATGGCCAACAGGTATGTGTAAAGTACCTGTACAACATCACTAATCATCAGGGGAATGCAAATCAAAACCACAATAAGCTATCACCTCACACCTGCAAGAAGGGCTATTATAAAAACAGGAGAGATAACAAGAGCTGGCCAGGATGTGAAGAAAAGGAAACATTTGTACACTCTTGGTGGGAATGTAAATTGGTGCAGCCACCATGGAAACAACATGGAGTTTCCTTAAAAAATTACAAACAGAACTACCATATGATTCAGCAGTCCCACAACTAGGTACATATTTTAAGGAAACGAAATCACCACCTTGAAGAGACATTTGCACTCCTATTCATTGCAGCATTGTTTACAATAGCCAAGATATGGAAACAATTTTAAGTGTCCTTCAATACTTTCAATGAATGGATAAAAATGTGACACTCATACAGATATATATGAAAATATCATTCAGGGACTTCCCTGGTGGCCCAGTGACTAAGACTCCACATTTCCAATGCAGGGGGTGTGGGTTCCATCCCTGGTCAGGGAACTAGATCCCATGTGCTGCAACCAAGGCCCAGTACAATCAAATAAATAAATTAAATAAATATTGGAAAAGAAAATATTATTCAGTCATGAGAAGGAAAGACATCCTGCCATTTGTAACAGTGTGGATGGATCTCAAGGGTTTTACGCTGAGTGAAACAAGCCAGACAGAGAAAGATAAATACCATATGATATCCCTTATGTGTGGAGGCTAAGAATGCCAAACTCATAGAAATAAAGACTATAATACCATGGAGTACCAGTCAGCACCAGAAAGGAATGATCTACCGATATACGCTGACCCGAACAAATCCCTAGAGGAGAATGGATCAGTGGTGGCCAGAGTTAGGGTGGAGATAGTTTGACTGTAGGGGGACAGTTCTCCAACTAGATTGTGACAGTGGTTATGCAAACCTACGCATGTGATGAGGTTGTGCACACATGCACATAAACAAGCACATGTAAGCTGGTGAAATCTGAACCAGCTTTCTGGCTGTGGTTATTGCACTGTGGTTATACAAGATGCCACCACTGAGGGAGACTGGGTGAAGAGTGCCTGCAAGCTCTCTGTTGGCTTCTCAACAGCTTCCTATGATTCTAAAATTGTGGGCAGGTAACTGGAGGGCTGGAGGCCCTTCAGCTCTGAGAGCCAGGACTCCCTTCATGAGCCCAGGGCCTCCAAGCAGGGGAGGAACAAAAGGAGATGCCGAGGCCCAGAGACAGTCTTGTCTGGGGTCCCCAGTGGCCATTAGCCAGGCTTCACGGCTCCCAGTGCCGTGCTCACCCCGGGGGCCGCCTCCCTCCCATGTCTGACTGTGTGGGGTGGGGGTGGGGAGGCAGGTGTGTGTGCACCTACCTGGGAGGTGATGGGGGCACCTGAAGGGGCACCATGTTCAGACACAATGTGAAGCCCCCGGGCCAGGGCAGAGGGCAGAACCCAGTGATGGGACCACAGAGACACTGGGCTGGGAGGCAGCATCACTGCTGAGGGCAGCAGACCCAGGGGAGATGGCCTGACAGTCAGATGGGTGGTGGAGAGGGTCCTGGGGCAGGTTTTCTAGGGCCCAGGCCTAGAGATGTCAACAGCCGGCCCTCCGCAGCACAGAGCAGTGTCCCCAGGGCCCCAAGCCCAGGGGAGCACAAGCAGTCCGTGCAAGGCTGGGAGGGAGTGGGAAGGCTGGGCCAGGTGCCTGGCTGACTGACTGCGGCACGCGACAGGGTGGGGGTTGTGGTTGGCGAGGTTTAATGGGCTTTGCTGTCCCCACCCTGGCAGCCTGCTTTCAGATGTGGTCCCCACACACCCCCGTCACTGGGGTCCCAAGCTCCAGGGACGCAGGGCAGATAGCTGGGCCTGACCCCAGCCCACAGCTGCCCTCCCGGGCCCTCCTCGCCCCAGGGCCTGGGGTGCAGCTCATCATTCAGGACCAGTCCTGGGGGGGTGGGGGTGGGGTGGAGGGTTGTTCTCAGCAGGGAGCCGGGGCTGGGACCTAGAACTGGGTGCCTGCCCTGTCCACACCAGGCTCTGGGCGGGCCCCTGACGCTGGGTCAGAGCGGCCCCGCCCCTGCCTCGGAGGCTCCCAGCCCAGCACCCCAAGTCTACTTCCACAGCGGGTGAGCATCTGTGCATGCTTTCTGTCCCACCTGGGAAACTGGACACGATTGGGTTGGACCAGGATTACCAGCAGTGTGGGGGCGGGGTGTGTCAAGGCTATCGCCTTGCTGTGTGTCCTCAGGAGAACACTGTCCCTCTCTGGGCTGCAATGGCCCAGAAGCGCTTGGATTTTGAGCGGTTCAGAATTCGACCACCTGGGGCTGGTGGCGGCGGAGACGCGAGCACACCCGCCAGACATCTGTCCGTCCGGGGTGGGGTGAATGTTTCCGGCCCCGCCCCCGGCCGCACGTGACCGCAGGTGGCGGCAGCGGGGTGGGCGGGGCCGCACTTAGTCACCGCCGCCAGCGCCCGCGCCGCCCGAGCGCCTGGTAAGCTAACCCCGGCCCGCGCCCCCGACCCCCGAATCTCGGCCCCCGGGAGACCCGCCCGCTCACGCGCCGCCCCGAACCTCCTCCGCGCAGACCCCTAGGGTTGCCGATCGCGGCGCTGGGAGCTTTGGGGGCCCCTTCCCACCCCGGAAGCCCTAGGGATGCGGGGCGCCGCCGAGCAGGGCCAGAGGTCGTCGGAGAGCAGACTCTGGACCCTCCTTCTTGGGAACTTCTGGGGAGTCCCTTGCCGGCCCTAGTTCCCCTCAGAAGTCGCCAGGACCTCAGGCAGCTCCAGAAATCCCCCGGGAGGGGGGGCCCCCGCCCCCCACCCGGAGGGGGGGCCCCCGCCCCCCACCCCAGCCCCCCTCAGGTACCGGCACCCGGACGGGAGGTGTGCGCCCCCGCCCCCGCCGGCCCCTCCTCCGCGCGGCTGCCCCTCCCCGGCCCCGCCTGCACTCTGACCCGACCCTCCCGGCCCGCCCCTCCTGCAGGTCCCGGGGCAGAGGAGCGGCGGCGGCCGGAGGCCCCAGAGCGCTCAGCGCCTAGCCGGAGACGGCCGGGAGCTGCGGAGCGCGCGGCCGCCATGGCCTTCTCGCAGGTGCAGTGCCTGGACGACAGCCACGTCAACTGGCGCTCCAGCGAAGCCAAGCCCGAGTTCTTCTACAGCGAGGAGCAGCGGCTGGCGCTCGAGGCGCTGGCGGCCCGCGGCCGCGACGCCTTCTACGAGGTGCTGAAGCGCGAGAACATCCGCGACTTCCTCTCAGAGCTGGAGCTGCGGCGCATCTTGGAGACCATCGAGGTGTACGACCCCGGCTCTGAGGACCCCCGCGCCGGCGCGCAGCCCCACGGGCCGGAGGATGGTGAGGCGGCCAGCGCGGCCGGGGGCACCCCCACCGAGGCCGAACCGCTGCCCTCGCTGGAGTACTGGCCCCAGAAGTCGGACCGCTCCATCCCACAGCTAGACCTGGGCTGGCCCGACACCATAGCCTACCGCGGCGTGACCCGGGCCAGCGTCTACATGCAGCCCCCCATCGACGGGCAGGCCCACATCAAGGAGGTGGTGCGCAAGATGATCAGCCAGGCCCAGAAGGTGAGCCGGCTGGACGGATTCCCCGAAAGACGCAGCCGGGCAGGCCTAACCTATCCTGGTGTCTCAGGCGCCCACACGCGCACACAGCCCAGCCCGGGCTCTCGGCTGCCTGTTGGGCTGCCTCCCTCCTGCCTTCGCCTGGATCCTCGGTGTCTCTGCAGAGCGATAGGGCACCTGGGTCCCCTGGCCGCTGACAGCAGGCTGCCCCATCTCAAAGGATCTTTGTGCATTGTTGGGGGCTGTTTCTGACTTCCCCAGGCTTGGCGAGCAGGTTCCCCAGAAGAAGGTGCTTGGACGGGGTGGGGCAGGAAGGATCACAGGGCTTTCACTCACTGTCCCCGGGGATGGCTCTGAGAAGCAGGAGGTTCCGGCTCACACATGCCCCTGAGCGCCCTGGTGTTGCTTTTGTGGATGGTGGAGACAGTTTGGGGCCTGGGGTAGGCATGGAGACTGAGAAGTAGCCTGAGTCTGGCCGAGGCTGGCCTGGAGATCCAAGTTCAACTGTGCCTTTTTTCTTGCTGTGCTGGGTGACTGAGAGCAAGTAGCTCTCCCTCTCTGAGCCTCTTTGTGAGCTTTGCAGTGGCAGAGCCTTCCCAGGGTAGGAGGTGGGGACTGGCGATGGTGTGTTCCTAGGGGTGGAAGCAGAGCAGGTCCCAGTGAGGGTTGTCAACCTGGATTGAAGGGACCTCAGGCGTTGTCTGGACCTCCCGCGGAGCGACCCCTGCCGAGTTGTGCCTTGTCCTGCTGTGGCTATCCATTCAGCTGACCCACTGACATAGCTTCTGAGAAGGGGTCTCTCCACTGGCAGCCAGCCAGGCCCTTCCTGGATAGCCGTGACCACAAGCAGGGCGTTCTCTTGCTTCCATGGTTTCAAGACACATTCTGAGATGACTGATAAAGCCTGCCTCTCGAGCAGTGTTGAGGATTCAGAAGCCAGCTCTGGACTCAGTAGAGAGGAGTGAGTGGTCAGCAGTGGCTATTCTGGCCTTGGCCTGGCGGGGCAAGGTATTTCTAGCTGAGTCGAACCCCTTCACTATTCTGGGCCTGCTCAAAACCCAGACAGTGGCCTTGGGGGATCATCCTGGCTGATAGGGCCCAGGGGAGCTCTTGGGCAGAGAGACCAGAAGTGGGTCAGGCACTGACAAGATGGCCATGGCTTAAGTTTCCAGAAAGGTGGAGTCCCTGTTTCCCGAGAGGGCTGGCAGGGTCTGATAGACTGTGTTGGGAAGCCTGGCTCTTGGCCTGGTCCCAGGCAGCTTTGGGGCTTTGGGTTTCTGCTCTGTGAAATGGAGGTGGCGGGGATGAAAGCCGTGAGGATGGAGTTGGGTGTCAGAGTGAGGAAGAGGTGGGGGTGGAGGGACCATCACAGTTTTCAGGCTGAATAACCTGCTATGACGGAGAGGGGTGCTGCTGGCGTGGGTGCCAGGCTTGAGGTCATGGAACCCAGTCCCCTAGGAGTGCTCGTTGGATCCCATTACCCAGCCTCCACCCCCTTTTTAAGAATGGAGAAGTTGAGACCCTGGTAGAGGGGGCTTGACCTGCTGTGCTGGGGCGCCTCTCCTCCCCACCAGAAGTAGGAAAGAGGTGGATCCCAGATCCCAGACTGCTCGGGAACAGCTGGAAACTCTTATCTCCCCAAGATGGAAAGACAGACGGCCAGGTCCAGACAGGGGAGCCTGGGGCCAGGCTGAGCACCAGGGCCTCCTCCCTCCTCTCTCGTCTCTGTGTCTGGGGCTGAGACCCGGCCATCCCATGCTGCCCCATGCCCCCTGTAACTTCGTTTGTTCCCCACAAAACCCTCCAGGCTTATCAGCATCACCTGTGTAAAGGGACAGAGCCAGGAGAAAGTCCCACCCAGGCCTGCACCCTGGTCTGTGTGGTCCCAGTCGGTGCTGTCCTGCAGCCCCCAACAGGTGGGCGTTGGCCCTGCTTTCATCCCTCCCAGGGTAGGGGCTCACTGACCATGCTCATACAGCATGGGCTCAACAGGAGGGGCCTCAGAGGCCAAGCGCCTCCTCTTTTGGCCAGGGACACCAAGACACAGAGGACGGGGGATTTGTTCACACCTGAAGGGGAGCCTTGCTCCTGTTTTCCAGCCCATGTCTTCCCTGCCACATCCACCCCAGGACCCACGGCCAACATAATGTGTGGGGGCTGGAGGGGACAGCCCTGATAACCAGAGCTGCTGTTTACCGGGTGCCAGGCACTTTATAGTCTCGTGTAGTGTTATCTGCTCCATTTTCCAGATGTAGTCACTGAGGCCCAGCAGGTTAGTCCCTGCCAAGGTCACCTGGCTAGCTCTCGGGTGGAGAGGTGGCAAAGGGACCAGACTGGTGTTGTCCTCAGACTCTAGACAGGTCCCTCGCCTGTCCTGCCCTGGCCTTGGAAGGACACAGTGACGGGCAGAGCAGGGAGGGGCCGCTCATCCAAGCTGCCTGGGACCCTCCCGGCTCCCTGCTCTGCCGCCTCCTGGCTCTTAGGGCAGGGCTGTGACGCTGGCGGGTGCTGACGGGTGCTGACAGGGCGCTTTGCCTGGGCTGCCTGCCTGGCCGCCAGGAGCCTGACCCGCCTTCTCTCTCCCCATGAATCACCTCTCTTTCCTTCACCCCCGAATCCTCCTCTTGCCCCCAGGTCCAGTGCAGGGAGACCGACCCCTCTCCCCATCTGGGATGGAGACCCCGTGGTCCAGCTGCCTGGCCAAAACGCTGGCCCCCTGCCCACCTGGGCCCCTGGGCTGGGGCTGGTGGCGCTGAGTCAGGACAGCCCAGCCCACCGCCTCCTCAGCCCAGACTGTCGTCAGCACAGCGGGCCGACCCCGGGGCAGGGAAGTGACACAGCATACACTCAGCCCGTCTCGCCGGGATTGGCCGTGTTCCCATCAGGGCCAGCACTGAGTCCTCCCCTTTCCCCAAGAGATGAGCGTGGAACTAATGGGCCACAGCACAAGAGCCACAAGTACTTGGTCAGGTCCCAGCTCTTCCTTCACCACCTGTGACCCGGCACAAGCCCTGGTCAAGCCATCTGTGACATGGGCAAGGCACTGGGGCCTTTTAAAGGTCTCTCCCACTCTGACCCTCCTCTGGTACAAATACTAGTGGGTCCAGGGTCTGACTCCACTGGCAGGTGGCCCTGAGCAGGCCCCAGAGGTGGAGGATCATCTGCCTGCCCTTCTCCCAGCCCCTGGGAGCCAGGGATTTATCTGGGGAAAAACCTGCCATGGGGCTCTAACTGCATACCAGAGCCTGGGCCTGTAGCATCACGCCTGTAGCATCACGCCTGGGCGGCTGCAGCCTCTGCAAAACGGGTGAGGCCGGGCTGGGTCGGGCTGGGGCTGGGGAAGGCCCGCCTTGGCCAGCAAAAGGGGAGATGCTCTAGCAGGTTGTTCATTCAGGGATGCCCCCCCCCAGACAGGACTTCTTCACCAGGGGCCCTGAGGGCAGGGCTGGATCATGTGTGGGTGAGGAATCTGGGGAAGGCACAAAAGAGAGTAAGGGGTGAAGCCTAGACCCGAAACCAGATCTCGTGCCCGCCAGGCCAGGGCCAGACTCAGAGATGTTAAGTTTCTTGCTTGGTGTCACACAGCAGAAAGGGATTGGAACCACGTTCCATGGTGCCCAAGTGACCCCACATCTTTTCTGTCTGGCCCCTGCCTTCCCACGCTGCCATCCTGGCTCACAGCTTGGCTCCAGGAGAATAAAAGAGCTTAATGAGGCATTTATTAAATGCCAGCTGTACCCCAGGTGCTGAGCGGGCACTTTGCCTGCCTGGATCCTCCCAGCTCCACAGCATAGGTGTGGTCCCCTCTGTGCAGACGAGGGGCTCACAGAGGGCAAATGACCTGTCACCCAGCCAACATTGGAGGAGCCCTCCTAGGACCTAGCTCTGGGGGCTCTAAGCCCCCCTTTCCCTGGAGGAGTAGTGTCTTGGCTATTCTTTCTGAGCCCTGCCCCTCTTGAGAGCCATGGAGCCTCACTGCAGGCCCTCAGCTTGACTCAGGGCAGTAAAAGTATTTTCACGAGGCTCCTAGACTCTGGATTCCCGCAGGAGCAAAAGTCTGACTGCCCCAAGGCCTGGTGAACACAAGGGGAGCCAAGGCCCCTGAGGACCAGGAAGGGACTCTCGCTGTCCCCAAACGAGGTGGTACCCTCACAGCCCTGACACCCTGAGAGGCCTCGGGGTGGCCCAGTTGGCTGCTTCCAGGGGCAGCACCAGCCAGCCTCACGCCGTGGGTCTGGGGAGCACTTCCCAGCCCAGAGCCCCAGGTGGGGAACCATCTGATAATATAATCCCATGTGTTGGCTCCTGTCTTCTCCAAAGGTTCCTACCCAGCAGCATTTGTGTCTTAATTGAGGTTGAGGAGAGTGAGGAGCAACTCTGCCAGGAAGGAGGGCTGGCACCTCTGGGCTGGGTGCACGCCAGGCTCCAGAGCACCTGGGCAGGTCGGCCCACACCGGCCGACCCTGCCCTCCCTCCACGACCCTGGGAGCCAGCGCCTGTCATCATTCCCAGGTCACAGGTGATGACAGCTGAGGTTCAGAGGGGCCAGGGCTTACTGAAGCTCCACCAGGATTTTTGTTTTTCCTAGTTGTGGCATGTGAACTCTTAGTTGGGGCATGTGGCATGTGGGGATCCAGTTCTCTGACCAGGGATTGAGCCCAGGCACCCTGCACTGGGAGGGCTGAATCTTAGCCACTGGACCACCAGGGAAGTCCAACACGCCAGGGCCGTGAGTGGCAGGACTGAGCTTCTGGTCTTGGGGATCCAGCAGGCTCGCCCTGCAGCCAAGGGTCCTTCCCCTGGGCCCTCAGAGGTGGGCTGGGCCAGGCCTCTCAGAGGCCCCCTTGCTGAATGACCTTGGGCCTTAGGTTCTTTGTAAGATGGGGATTGGGCACTGGTCTTAATAAGGCAGTCATATCCATGAGGATGCTCAGTGCAGGGCTGGACCGCCCCCTACTGGGGCCACACCTCCCTCATCCTGGCAGGCTCTGGCTGGTGGGCTG